TAGAATATAACGTGAACAAATCAGTTTTTGTCTTATTAGAAGGCGTGTTGTCTTTTGTATACTTGTATTGAAGAGCACCTGGGAGTCACTATTGGACGCTTTGGGCTGAGAGCTGATTGGCTGAGTGAGAGCTGGTCCTCTTTTTCTCACTTTTCTATCTGCAAAAGTTGATCTAAAGATGTAAAAGAAGCCAGAAATACATTTGTTTCTTTACATTTTACTAAAATTTTGAAAAAAGCACATTTTGATAGTCCATAGTGTCAACATCAATACTGAACATTTAGAGTATTAGAAATTGTATTTGTATTGTTGCCTGTGCCATTTTAGAAAATAAAATATTTAATGTGTTTATAGTTGTATTTTTTGTGTAGGACAAGTTTGTTTTTATAGATAGATAAATAGATAACTTTATTTGCAGACTCAAGGTCCAGATCAACACAGACCCTAGACAAGAAAAAAAAAGTGTTCTTGTGCCCAGCGAGTACAGATGGAAAGTAGCTGCAGCTAAATCAGCGCAAATCATCTCTTCTTTCCTCCTGTTCGATAAACAATAAACTAGACATGCAAGTGAAAACCAATGATAAAAAGTTGCATACCGCAGAATGAATGAATGAATGAATGAATGAATGAATGAATGAATTGTTTTTAATGTCATGCACACATGTGCCCAGCCCACATGGTTTATATGACACTGATAGAAGGAAAGATGATCCAAGCAACAATCCTTTCAGCTCTGGACACAGAGTTCTCTGGGTCAGAGTGTCTAAGTGTTCAGGCCTTCTCCACAAAAGTGACCAAACAAAACATTATATGTGCGTCGGGGTCCGCTTCGCCCTGTCGGTACTTATTTTCCGATAATGACCTGTGTACGATACATTATCCCTTACATCACCTACATAACGTTTCACATTCAGACAGACTAAACAAATCAGGATTTTTATTCTGAATGATCTAATAGAAATTAGTTCTTAACGCATGATACAAAGGATTTAATTGTATATGCACTGTTTCCATGCCAACAATTTCAACGCATCGTATTAAACTACTAAAGGCGTTCATTTGTATAATACATGCGGAAACAATAGAAACATAAATATCACATGTATCTAGAACATGGAAACACGCCACTTTTCTCCCAGACCATCACTTGAACACTCATCATTGATACAAAGTATTTTACTTAGTTCTCGTCTGTTGATATCAGATTGTTCCCAGTCTTTCCTTTTGTTTTGTTATCTGCAAAGAGTCTGGATGAAACAGGTGCATACCAGGTTTGCAGCTCCAGGCGGGAAAAACATCTAAAAAACATCTGAAAAAAATCTCATATTGTCACTGATTTGTTCAGTGCTGTGAAAAATGTTGAAGAAAACACAACGTCACTTTTGTGGTTAGTTTCTATGATAAAAATCTGTCTTTATATTTGAATCAACAACAGCTTATGTTATTGAAGAAAATCAATGGCACTATATCCGTATAGGAAAAAAATCAAATAAAAACTGCTGAAGAACCTCCTACTGAGAACCATATTTCTGCATTCATCTTTCAGCAGTTTGAAGACATCTGCGCCAGAATAAATTAACACAATTACAGATGAGAATAATTGGAGTGGCCACAGAGAGAACATGCAGTCCTCACAGAAAAGCCACTCACCACAGTGGCCACGGCGTCGAATGCATTTAGGGAAACCTTCCACTTAAAAAGCAAATTGGTGAAAAAGGAAAACATGAAAAGACAACTTAACACAAGATACGAACTGATTTAAAAATATGCTTTTGTATAAAGTACGTGACTTGGATCAACACTGAGTAGAGTGAAGTTAGATCCACATTATTTGTTAAAGGGACAGTCTTAGTGGGCTAATTCTTTACAATCACACTTTAGTTGTGACACATGCAGCTCCTCAGTTCTGATTACTGATATAGAAACTGTAAAAACTGGTTTTGTATTCTATATATATATAATAAATATAGGAGCCAAAACCAAATGATGAATCCTCTTTCTGCTCTGATTGGACATTTATTAAAGTTCAGAGAAGGGTAAATATGGTTTGCACATATGTAATCCGTTATCTGGGGACACGTAAAAGCTGAAGATGGAAATCATTACATACTGTCCCTTTACGTGTTAAAATGTGTTATTTGATCATTCATGTCTTTCAGCATTTTATTTATTACAGTGACACATCATAAGGGATCTACAGCTCAAACTTAGTCGATTGGGACACATACTGTGCACAACACGCAAAGCTGAGTAAGATACAGTAACGCATCATCAAATCCGCAGAATGTCTCTGTAAATCCAACAGCTTTTGCGTTGGTTAATCAGCAGAAAGATTGAAACAGCCCTCTGAAAGTCGTGCTCTTTTTAACACGCTTTTCTCACCAGCTCTTGCCATTGATAAAGGGATTAGTATCAGATTAAACAGTGGTCATGGGATTACCCTCAGAAGGCCAAATCTGCCTGGTCAACGAGTGACAACGCACAAAAGAATGCATGCGTCACTGCTCTGTCGTGAATAGTGGCTTTACGTACGGGATGTAGTTATTCAGCGTCTGACTTAGTAACTATGAAGCTATATTTAAGGTTTTCACCCAAAACAGATAAGTAAAAAAAAAAAAATAATGAGAGAATGTATTTTATTGAGACAGTGTTTCAGATCACAGGGCTGTAACATTATGTGGAGTGCCCCAGGGATCAATCCTAGGACCTCAGTTATTTTTATTATCTATTTGTTGCCTCATTTACAGCAAAAAGGTGTTATCACAACTATGCAGATTATATGCATCTTTATGTTTAGGCAACAGGTCAAAGGATTATTCACAGACGAAACTCAGTAAATTAGAATAACGGTCAAAATCTAATTTATTTTTGTATTTCAACTTTAAAAATGTGAAGCCAATTTATAATATAGATCATTACAAAGTGACATAGGCCTGGCTTTGGTAATATTTCTTATTATCATTACTAACAGTACATTTTCAAAATACTCATCCAATCCAGTTGTTTTTTTTGCGGATGTTTGAAATAAATGCCTCAATATATCTCACATTATTGAGTCTGCATGTTATGAGTCTGTCGTAGATTTTTAAGTTAATTAAGTTGAAATACAGAATTAAATTGACTTTAGAACGATATTGACACTTTTCAATTGTCACCTGTGTGTATTAATGGGATTTTAACACATCCCCAAACCAATCATGGCACCTAATGAAAAAAGATAAATCTCCATTCTATTTCTCTCTGGCTTTTAACACTGTATTAGTTGCATACTGTACTTTTTTTAAATGTTATTTTGTAAATGTATTTTTTAATGTATTTTTTTAATGTATTTTACTTCCTACGCCTGTACAGCCCTTTTGTCAATGAAATGTGCTATATTAAAAATTATCTGGGTTTGGATTTATGCCCATTCAGATTCTTAAATAAATCCAAATAAAACAAAACAGAATGGGTAGAGACGGTGCCATAGCTGGTCCAAGTTATTTTTAGCGGCAACTAAGTGATGTCATTATCCTCATACATACAGCCATAATCCTGTCTTTGGGAATAAACTCTTATTTTATTTCAATTGGATTTAGTGACATTGCTCTGAACGCTCTGTTGTGGATGTCTTGATGGATGTTGAGCGGGTTTTTATATGATCTGATGGAGCAGACTCTCTCCTCGCCTGCACCAGTGACCGGTTTGTCTCTGCAGCAGGTATTTGGGTCAGTGTGCTGCTGCCCAGACAGTCAGGTGACCACAGAGGCCCAGGTCCACACGCGCCCTCTAGCGGTGAATACCAGCATGACCAGCGGGATGGAAAACATGAGGAATAACATTTAACAAAGAATATGTTGGGATGTAAGGATTAGCTAGTTCAGGCAAGTCTAAAATTTTCGTTGTCCATATTTGAAAAAAAATATCGTTTTTTTGAAATTGTGTGAATAAGTTGTTTTTCTCAGTCTTCACCATGTTTATGTCATTGCTATTTGAAAAAGGGATGAAAATGTACCTCAGTTGCAGGACACAAACATAACTCTGGCTTAAAAAATAATTGCAAACTAAGCCTCTTAAATATTTGCTTAATGACAGTTACCTTTTTTTGAAACTGACCAAACCAGACAAGAAACAAGTGGAAAATATATAAATCACTGCAATTGTCCAAAATTTAGTGTAACAACCTTGTGCAACAGTCTTGATATTACTGGTTATGTTTTAACAAAACTAAAAATATAACTAAGGTTAAAATCTGATTTAGGCTCCTGATGCAGGATACGAACTACCATTATAGAAATTCATAAACAACCATAAATGAATTGTGCAACTGTATAAGATGTTTAGGTAGAGGGAGTGGGAGCTTATAAGTTTTGACTTCTTCCCACTTCGTTTTGAGGAGGGGAAAAAAATAAAACCATTAAATGTATGCATGGATGTGTGTGCACGTTTCTATCTTGAATCATATGGAACTGCTGTAAATTCTACAATTGATTCCCGTTTATAAGCTTGAAAAAAAATACAAAAAAAATCAGTATACTTGTTACTCTGGAAATCTGGGCGTGCATGGTTGACACATTTTTGAGACCTAAATAAATGAGTCTACAATATTTTCAAAGCAGTTAAAAAAAGTGATTGAATTGGAGCTTCTAATCAAGGTTTAAGTCCTAACTGTAGATCTAATGAATAATATAAAATGGTCGATAAACCGTACAATACGGTGACCAACCTATATTATTCTTTTAAATCAGCTTCCCTGCTTTAAAGTAACTTTTGCTGAGAAAAAAAAAACATCCAGAAAGAACCATCCCAATGTGATCTCATGTAATCAATTCATTTATTTACAAAAACAAACGTGGTTACAGCCAAAAGGACCAAGACCCTTCGATCACTTTTCCAATAACCTTTCACACAATGACACCGATTACACAAGTTTCTATTTCAGATAAAAAACAAACAATGGTGAAAATATATCGACAGACTGAAGTCTTAAGAGGACGCTGATGTAGTTTTCTGGATCCGCTCTAAAACTTAAACTCTTTGTATTTCTTGGCTCCGCCTCTCGTGTCCTGAGGTTGGGCCTTCCTCTTCTTTTGCTGCAAAACAAGAACAAAAGGTTCAGACCTGAATTCAGAGCAAGAGACGAGGACAGAGCTCATGACAGAGACACCAACTCCATGTGTTCAGTAAACGACAATGAAACACACACCATTTTATCATCAAACCAAACGTATGAAAATATATCAAACACAGGCACTACAGAGATTGGATTGTCTCAAAATGTGGAAAGCATTCTTGAGGAATTTGTTTAACGTCAATAGAGCTGCATCATTGCAATAATAATCGATTATTACACACACACACACACACACACAGAATAAATTAAGCATAGTTTTGTTTATATTGACCGATCAAAAGAAATGAGTGAAATTGCGAGCAACCAGAGGGGGGGAAACCAGATCACTTGGAAGAAACCTACGCAGACATGGGGAGAACATGCAAACTCCACAAAAGAAAGTTCTGGAGGTGGAATTGAACCCAGGACCTACATGCTGTGAAGTGCTAACCACTGTGCCACCATATATTGCTATACATTCAATTGTAATCCTTGACCCGCATTATTTCCAATATGAGGTGACACTAATCATGGAGCTCAGGACAATCTTCCTGCTGCAGATTCATAAACAGTCGTACCTTCTGTTTGGCGGCGTGCTCCGCCACCATGTCGCTGAAGTCCTCTTTGGCCACCTGCGCCTGCTGCTCCCTCACATGCTCCTCGTACTTCTGTGTCATGGCCATGGGGTCCAGCTCCAGCTCCTCTGGGGCCAGAGCCACCTCCACTCCCTGGTACTCTCCTCCTGCCGCCTTACGACCCGCCATGGCCTGGACACGAGAGAGATGGAAGTGTTAGAAACAAAACAACACTTGTGTGGGTTTGGTCATATTCAAGTCCTGGTTCAGTCTGAGCCACTGATAGACCCACATTCACTCTGAGTTACGCTACTTTTTAGTCTGAACAAAAATATGCACCCCAGGAAGACAAGAAACCTGGTGAGATCCAAGTAAGGGCTAAAACCACAAATAAAAAGACAATGTCTCAAGGAGCACTGAGAGGAGACTGAAAAAACTACAAATGTATTGGTGATGCCGTAGCTGTGTTGAGTTAAAAGGAACCATATGTAACAGCATTTTTACATGTAAAATGTATCCTTGAAATTCAGCATATATATAAAAATGTTTAATGAAATAAAAATATCACAGCAGGTATTTCAATGAAAGCAGAGAATACAGTCTCCCGTTTGGAGTAATCAGTGCTACATGAGTCACAGGACGTTTCTGGCATGGAAAGTGTGATTGTAATTGTGAGGACGTGGCCCTCCGACAGTGCAGACTACACATGGGTCCTCCAAATCATTTATGAACTGATTGACTAATTAAAAGACGTGGGTCAGGGTTATTTTTATCCTCCCTCCCCCGCTCTGTAACAAACTGGATTCTCAAGCGCCCCACAGTCCTGTCGGAGCAAAGTCTGAGAGTCTCACCGCGGCCGACATGTCGTAGATGTGTGTGGAGGCCATCATGGCGGCTCCCACTGGGCCTGTGCGTCTCTCCGGCAGCACCGTGAACAGCTGCGGAGTCTCATTACTGAAACACACGAGGAGAGCAGGAGATTATTAGCCGATTTCTGCATAAATGTCAAGCGGTGAAAACTGAAAAGTCGTCAGAAAATCAGGATCTGAATTAAACTCAGTGTGTTAGTGAGGAGCATAACTTTGTTGGATTGGTTTTCTTCTATAGCACAGAATTAATTAAATACATCATAATATCACTGCAGACCTCAATTATACTTATAATTTTGCTCTTGTGCCATTAGCTTTAAAAAATGAGTCAAAATTTGCTCATATTTGGCAAAAAGTATCTTAATTTGAGCACATTTTGACTGTCTTAAAGCAAGATCTGTCACCTGACCTTATCAATCTACATTCTGACTCTATTCAAGCTATTATTACCTAAAATTTTAACATTTTTTTTGCAGTGCACCAAGGAGAATAGGGTGAACTTAACTGTTACCAGCAAATTTCAGCATCAAAATTCAGTAGCAGCTTAGTGGCGAGATTGATTTCAAAAGAACAAACTGTCAATGCTGCCCTTTTCCAATTCTTACACTCATGGGCAAACTAAAAAGCAGTGATTTGTCTGTGAGCTGAGGTGTGTTGCCGAGTTGTCCTGACCCGTCCATAGCCTCCTCGATCTTCTTCTTCCTGAGTTCGATCAGCTCCGGCGTCTCCATCCCGGCGGGGACGGACGAGAATCCTCCAGGCGTGATCAGGCCACTGCGACAAACACATCGAGAGAATACGGCACATGATTAGAGAAGCTGTAGGCTCTTATTTCACAGTACAAAACTAATAGTTATTGTGAGGATTAAATGTGATTCAGGCTGGGCGATCTGGGAGGGAAAGCATTTTTATTCCTCGTATTGATCGCCCTCCAGTTACTTTTCGATGTTTTAGGCTATTAAAAGTTGTTTACTTGTGCACAGGCAGGGGGAGAAACCCAAACTGCATCTGTAATTTTGTTACATTTGGAAGGTGGTCGCTGGCTCAGTTTGTCCCCAAAGTAAGCAAGCAATTTTTACCCACAATTTTTAAATATACATTTTTGCCACAGCCCTAATAAAGAAGGTCTTTAGAACATCCCATGTGCGTCAGGGCGAGAAGTTTATCAAAGACACAGCAACATTGTCTGGTTATATTTTTCAAAAGGGGACATTTTTGCCTCTTTTCCTTGTTATTTTCTCACCCAGTGTATAATTTACATCACATGCTTGTGTGAGTCATTTATATCTGACTGGCTCCTCTTACCACCACCACACCCATTGTTTTTAAATGACTTTTTATTTGTATTTTTTTTTAAATCAGTGATACGTGGATGATTTGGCAGCGGTGAGCGAGCATACATGTTCAAAGGACAAAGGCTGATTCCAACTTCATCTGTGGTCTGCGCAAAAGCTTTGATGTGATTACGAGGCCAAAAAGGAGAATATAAAGTCATGTGCCGGGAACATTCGTGGACTCGTTTTGTTTTTAATCACATCATTTAAATCAGGGCATTTCACCTCGGTCCTCAGAGGGCAGTGTGGATGCAGGTTTTCGTTCAGACATAAGCAGGAGCACACCGGAACCCATCCATTTCCTAAAGTATTCAGGTTAAGACGAGACTATGGGGGGAATGTGGCGTGCTCCTGCTTGGTTGGAATGAAAACCTGCAGCTACATTGCCCTTTGAGGACCGAATTAAATACCACTGATCATATTTTTTTTCTATCTATCTATATATACACACAAATAATAAAGTGCTGTTAATGAGCAAAGATATGTTTTCTTAGATATCGTAACAGTACAGTACGAGTCTTGAAGCTGCATCCTTGGGCAAACAGCGATTAATCAAAAACAAAATGTAGAATAAACAATATTTTGATGCAGCTTTGAACGCAATTATTATTACTACTACTACAACTACTACAACCCAGTGCTGGCTTCCATATGCGTGTCTTTGCATATTAACATGAAGCCAGCTCGAGGCGGTGTGTGTCCATTAAAAAGCTAACGGCAGCTTTTCCCCACACTCGTCTGTAATCGGGGGTTTCATCTGCAGGTTGAAAGGGCGCCTCATCTCATAATGACACGGTAAATTATGTTAAAGTGAGCGTTTAGGAGAGTAACCATCAAAGAGCTCATCTGCATCCATTACAAAGCATTATTCATTCATTTATTCTTATGCTTAAGGAGATAACCTCGACTAAACAGAGAGAGAACACCAGGAACAGGATCATCCAAAAGTATAAATGTTTACTGCCTCAGTTTATTCTGAACAGGAAGCATTTGTGTGATTTGGTGAATTACATAAAATTATCATTTCAACACATGTAACTAAACCATTACATTTTGACCTTTTCTGAACAACAGATTAAACTGGAGATATTCTTTAATAAAAGTACAATGGTCTTGATGTCCATAATATTTATGCAAAACACTTTGAAGCAGATTATCCAATCAGAACAGAATGAGTCTCATTTGGATTGCCAGTTTCTTCTGCGAAATTTTGCGGGTTGGTATTTATCTTTTCAAATTATTTTTAATATAAAGAAAATCCACAAAAAAGCACCACACATTTGATTAAATGAAGTCAGGTAAAAAAGTTTCTAGCTAAACTCCAGCAGGTGGATTGCATCCGTGCTTAGGCGCTACATGTGTCAGACAAACGTGTGATTGTAATGACTTCATTAAACCACTAAAAGTGCACATAACACACTGTCCCTTTAAGATCTCCTCCATGTTTAAAAACTCTAATTTTGAGTCAAACTAACAACTTTAGTTCCAGCCAATAGTGCAACCTTTTTTCTTGTATAAACAGATACAATCGCTTGAATTGTGCAGTCTCTTTTCTGACAACTTTACGTTTTTTTCCGTGTTTTTCCAAGAACTTAGAAATTGGCTCAACGTGACCAAGAAAATCGCTCACTATCCCACATCCCGCTGTAACACAGATGTGAAAGCACTTGTCAAGTACCTGTCGGCGGGAGTGAAGAAGCCGGTCTCGTCTGGCTTCTCTTCGTCGCTCTCCTCTTCCTCCTCCTCCTCTGAAGACTCCTCATCAGATGGTTCTAACTCTCCCCACGGCGTGTGGTCCAGCTCTTCATCGTCTGCTTTGGACTGAAGACAGGAGCAGAGCAGGACTGTGAAGACCCTCTTTGAGACCATATCCTTCATGTAAGTCCTGTCCTAGGCATTAACAGGTTCATCTAGATGTAGTCCGGCTCTAGTTTAAATTTCCACCATTGATTGCAGAGTTTATTGGTATTGCACAAAAAAGCGCTTTGGTCGCTATTTTGGTGCTTTGTTAATATTACAAAGGTTTCTATGACGCAAACGATCTTTTTCAAAAATCCAAAACTCATTGAGTACTTGACCAGTCTTGACCGGTGGATCTCAAACCTTCACATCACAACATTTGAATTCCAAAGTAGTATGAAGGGAAGCATCAAACAGTAAAACTCGTCAAAACCTGAGCCAAACCATGTCGTATACATTCCATTCATCAGTTCTGATCATTCACTCGTCATTTTACCTGCTGCTATTATTACTATTGTTTACCTGGTCATCTCTGCTGCTAAAGTACAATACCAATCATCTGTAACCGCTGCTGACCACAGTGTACTCTCCACAAGAGACTTATCCTTGACCCAAGCGCAATTATAGCTCCAGAATTAATGATCTTAACTTTGTATTTTCCATTTTCTTATTGATCCTGTTTGATCTGTGCATAATCTGACCATCTATGACACTGACATTTTCCTACTGCATAAATACATGACGCAGTACTTTCTGTGTCTTATCTTATATAAAACAAAATGCACATGATAGACAATCCGATTAAAACAAGAGTAGCAAAGAAACCAGAGTAAAACTGGGCAGGGTGCAAAAGAGTGCAGTATATTCCCAGCATTATTACATCAAATGCTAAACAAATGTTGGTTAAAAATAATTTAAATACATTCACAATACACGCAAGAATATCTTTGTCCAACACCTTCTCAAACTGCAGTGGAAGTTATACATTATTGATTATGCCGTTTGCCTTTTGTAAAACAGGTTTGGAAAAAAGTAAACTAATGTTACTATTGCGTCTACTATTTTTTCCAGTAAAAACGCAGACTCTGGTGTCGATCCAGGACGCCCGACATGCAACAACATTTATGGACATTGGTCTCAGCCCCTTATGGACCAACTGCTCTATATGTTTTTTATAATTGGAACCGTTTGCTTCTCTAATCGGTGTTGGCGAGTCGACTGTTTGTAAAGTCCTTCGAGATAACTAGTAAGTAAGTAATCTTTATTTATATACCGCCTTTTCACTGCAGATCTGAGTCTCAAAGCGGTTTACAATTGTTAATACATAATAATTGTAAAACTACAGTAGTGATTTAGGGCTATACAAACATAACACACGTGTGGATTATTTACCATGAAGTCTCCGGAGTTGGTCCCGAACACGTCTCCGTACAGCGGCTTCCCCATCTCATCCACAGGAGGCTTCCCCCACCCTCCGGCGTGGTATCCAAACGTACAGTTCTAGCGGAGAAGAGAGACGTGACTTTAACACGACGGCAACAACCACTCAAAAACACAAACGTCAAGTCCGAGATTCCGGTCCTTACGTCTGGGATGGGAGCGTTCAGTCCCGGGATTTTGAGGTTGGGGTACGACGGAGGTGGTCCGTATCTCTGCATGGCGATCAACCAGGGAGGGGGCACTTTGTGGGCGTTCTGTTGAGAATATATACTTTATAAACAAACACACAAAGTAGTAGTACCAGCCGTCTTCAAGTTGTGTACCAACAATTACAAATGGCTTTCTTAACACAATCTTTGACAAACCGTTAAGATGCAGCAATGCATATACGCACCTTAATGCTTTGTTCAGCTGTAAAAACGCACAAAAAGTATCTTCAAAGACCAGGGTATGTGGAATTTGTTTAATAAATGGTCACAATTGTCTAGGGCTGGGGTCCACAACTTTCAAACAGCAACAAGAGAACTATGTCAAAATCCATGTGACTTGCTCCTCGCTTTCAAAACGGACTGACTGATCACTAGTTTACATCTTTAGATTCGCTTTTTCAGACAGAAAAGAGAAAAAGATGAATAGATTCATGAAATTCTGCTTTTCCTTGGACTTTCTCCTCAAATTCTTTATGTTGGGCTTGTCGACTTAGTTTGTATGTTTCTACCTGCCTTAGGACAATGGACGCAAATTAGCTATTGTGCCAATTCCAGCACCTTTATGTTGACGCTGTTTGCAGACACTTTGATTATTATGTACTGTCCGAAATTCAAATGAATGAATAAATAATTAAATGAAGAAAAGCACCCTCCTGCGGCCAATCAGCTCCCAGCACAAATCATCAAATGGTGACTGGTGGTTCTCTTTATCAGCTTTATTAGTCATGAACTGAAACTCACGGGTCCGACGGGCATTCCCAGAGCAATGCGCAGCTCGTCCGACAGATCCCCGGGCTTCTTCTCCTTCAGACGGGTTTCAAACTCTTTGCCCTACACAAAACAATGCGGTACAGAAGTTTCAGCGCAGACTTTCATTTGATAATTACGGACACAGGTGGAAAACAGCCTCTTTACCTCATAGTACAAGTCTCCGTGGATGGTGAGTTTGGGTTTGATTTGCCATTTGAAGAAGGCGTCGTGGAGCTTCTGGTAGTCGATGTCGATCTTCCCCATCTTCGGACGGACCTTCTCCCTCATTTTGGTTTTCATGGTTTTGGCGTCCTCCTGCGATGGGGAAAGATAAAGATGCGTTAGGTTGAGGTCTGGATCATCTTGAGGCACTTTGAAAAAATTACAAAATTACATTCAGAATTCTTCTGCTCTGACTGTCCTCATTTTGAACTAGGGGTGTAAAAAACTATGAATTTTCATGATCGACCACCGAGCCTCATTAACCGGTTGAAACCGGTTAACTGCGTAGTTTAAAATATTCCACGTTCTTTGAAATAACAGCCATTACGAGACGCTACTTTTCATAAGTGCAGGTATGCGTTATATTGAATCAAAACCCGCAACAGCTTAGGCCCCTTTGGGCACAGAGAACTGCTTTTTTTAATCTTCCCATTCTGCTGTGCTGCGGGTTAAAGCTTTTTAGCAGCAAACAACGGCTCGTCCACATGGTCAGAGCAGCGAGTGACGAGCCGCGTCTCGCAGGTCTCCGCTAAAGTTTAAATACAAGTGATGTGTGTGGAGCTGATGCCAAGGACCATAAACACAAACATGTTCCATGTGGTTTGACTGGAGCCACGTATTTGCGAGGATCCTTTGGGCTCCGTGACACTGAGGAGCGCGACAGACCGGTATGTGTGTGTGTGTAAGCTCCAATGTAGTTCTGACCCGCACCAGTGTGCAACTTTGGCATAACAGAGGGGAGTGATGATGCGGGTGGATGTTACGTAGGGGGGGAAGTGTCTATGCGCGCGCCTGCGTATGTGTGCGTGCATATGTGGCGCGTGTGGCATGAGAGTCGGCCCGCAGTTTACTAATACATTGGCGCGCACAGCTAGAGACGGACCCGCTCGTCACACAGCGCAAATAGGGCTTAAAATAGCGTTAAGAGATGTCCCCTCTTTTTACGGTCAGCCACCGGTTAAACGGTCACCGATTTACAACCGTATTTTGAACCAGTGCAGCCACTGTTTTTAGCCAATTCTCAGTTAATGTCCCCCCCTTTGAAACCTAGAGGAAACATGGCAGCAATGTGCAAGTATTTTAGAACAAATAAATGAAAAACACATTCATATCTTTGGCATGTATAAACTATTGGCACTAGGGCTGAAACAACTGATCGATTAATTGACGACTAATCGATTATTGAAATAGTCGACAACTATTTTAGTAATCGATTAATTGTTTTCTGGTTCACACGGACTCAAACAGAGCAAAAATGACATGAAAATGTAGTATTTTTGATTAAAACTGACTTTGTTTTTATAATTTCATGAATATCTGTCTGTCTCATCCAATGAGAGCAGAATTAGCACAAAGAGCATGTTACAAACATTTACTTTAAGTTTACGCCATCAATACGTCCGAGTGTTGCCACTTGTGTTGCCACTTTAGCTTTTTGTGATGAAAAAATAATTTTTTTCTACACAATTCACAGCCAAGCGATTACTCAATTAATCGGAAAATTACTCTCTCTTGTTTACTCCACAATACACAGTCAAAGTGTTGTATATACTATGGAATAGACTGAAATACCAAAATAAATGGGGGCTTATAGTAGAAAAATTGCTACATAAGTTTCTGAACCCAGGACACTATATCTCAGACTTACCTTTTACTTCTGTAATTGATTTTAAACGTCTTCTATCTCATGAAGTTTGAGGTCTACCGCAATTCTTAGATAGCCTAAAGACTTTCCATTTTAAGCTTGTTTTGAGACTGAAACTAATTGTGGACACGTCTGATTGAAAGTAAAACACAGAGAAAAGCCAATATCTCCTTCATTGTACTTGTGCATTGTAACAAATGTTGTCTAAGCTCTTGAATCCTCCACCAGTTGCTCCTTCACACACACACACACACACACACTCACCTTCTCCTGCAGCGCCTCCCTCATCTCCTGGATGCCGGTCCTGCGGATGAACTCTGGCAGCTGAAACGGGGGCTTCTCGATACCCCTCTTCCCCTGCAGGTACTTCCTCTTGAAGCACCAGTGTCTGGGCACGGGGACGGTGTTCCTCGTGGCCTTCAGGTGGACCAACAGCTTGGGTTCTTGAGCCGTGACGTCGTGCATCTCCACCACGTCCGGGCGAGCCACCAGCTGAGACACAGAATGGATGGATTAGACAGCGGCGGATATGAGGAAATATTGACATGTATAACTTTTCTTATCGCTTCTGCATATGTACTGTAACCCACAATTATTTTGAATATTCACGTTAAGCTAGTGATTATTCCAACAATGAATTTGTTTTTAGAACGCAAATGTGATATCTCAGTTTGACCCAGATACAGCTACCACCAGGAGGCCATTTCCAGACCGTTTTATCAGTAAATACAGACATTACCACAATTTGATTAGTATTGCTTCTAATTACTGCTCCGTCTCAGCGCATTCATGTCAGTTAACCACATGGCATTAGGGGTTTGGGGGAAATAAGTAATATCACCGCAACATCACATAATATTCAAAAGTGTGATCAAATGTGAAAAATATGTGACAGTTCTCAGATCAAATATTTATACGTGAATAAGATTAATTCAATCTTTTAATCAAGTCCTGGCCTTACATCGATATAGCTATTCTATTCGTCACATGTATCATAGTTAGCAATTTCAGCAGTGGAATGGAATAGTTTCAATATTATCGTTTAAGGCAAGTACAACTCAGCCGGTTCTCAGTGAAGCATTTGTCATTTTACTTCAAAAACACGCACTGTATATTCAAAAAAACAGAAGAATTTATAGAGATTTACAAAAGTGATTGCAAAACTAAATGGTGCTAATTGTGTACCTGATTTAAAAAAACAAAAATCTAGATTCTATATCAAGCGTAATAATAAAATTGACAAAAACATCAAGAATAAAGTTGTGATAAAGTAAATCACAAATCCATTTCCAAAACAACAGTTACATTTAAAGTTCCATGACGTGAAAAGTGTGAGTCTGACCTGTTTGAGTTCCGCCACGGTCAGACGGTTCATCCTCCTCAGCTTCTTCTTGGAGATTTTGGGGACATCGCTTTTATCCATGTCCTTGCGTTGAGGGAAAAAAACACAAACGATTGAACCATTTCCAAAAGTCAAAATGAAGTTATGTAAAAGATTTTTTCCAAACCTCGTCGCTGTCGTCGCTGTCGTCTTTCCGCAGGAGCTCCACGCCTTTCTTCTTCAGATACGGGAGCTCGTGTTTCTCTTTCTCTGGCTCCTTTTCCTTCTCCTTCTTCACGTCGTCCGTCACCTGGAACAAAAACGGAACAAGACCGGCTTTGTCGAATGGATGTCGAACTGCAAAACTTTTTTCGTGTGTTGAGAGAGGTGCAAAAGCCGCTCGTCTAATTGCTATTGATTCACTTGAATGACTGACATTCCACTTTCCAGGCAATAGAATTATACAAGGCCGAGGAATTATGTTTGAGAGCTGTAGCGTTGGATACAAGCAAGGTTAAAAACATTATTTACAAAACCAATGAAATACCAATATCTAGCCTCTCGAGTACAGGACAAAGGCAGCACTAAAAACGGTCCCAAAAAGGTCATAAATACCAATCTTTGAAAGGAGGCCTGGGTACCTAACTTTAGAACCACAACCAAATTAACTGTCATACTATCTAACTAGTTACTTGGCTTCAAAAACGTATTATATTTGATTTTAGATTGTTACTTTAACGTTTTTTTTGTGTGTGAAATACTATGCAAGCTACTGTGACAACGCACTTTCCCTTGTGGATCAATAAAGTCTGTCTAAGTCTAAGTCTAAGTCTCACATGCACACTTGGCCTCTGTCACCGCCTAAACAGTCAAATAGTGACTTCAAACGGCTCTTTCTGACAAGTGTGCAAACGAAAACATATTGTGGGAAGGTTCACAAAATGCTGCTTTTACTCAACTCTTTCTGTTGTAACACCCAAAATGTTTTGCTCATTAAATGAACTTCATTACCCGAGCTTTAAAACTAAATGCAGCTCAAAATGGGTAAAAATCTGATTGACAAACTTGCAAAATACAGACCTGGAAAGAAATCCTAGGGCAATAAATAAGAGGCCAATGTACCACAGTTTGAGAAACACCCCATTGGAATAGACAGGATAGAATAAATCAATTGTCCATCATGTGTTGTCATTACAGAAAGTCGTCTCTGACTTGCATAATACAAAACTTACAAATCACACACACGCTCCAAGACAAGCATTGACAACACATTTCTGCATAAGTGTGATTAAGAAATGTTTTAAATCTCGAATGGCTTTGTACCTTGAAAGCCTCAAAGATCCTCTTGAAGAAGATGAAGTTGGGGTCGTAGATTTCGGGCTCCTCCGTCACGTACTCGATCTCCACCTCCGGCTGCTTCTCGTTCTCTTTGTCCTTGGCTGCGGTCGGCTGCTCCACCTGCTCCTTCTTCTCCAGGGCTCGCTTCTTTTTACTTTTCTTCTTTCTGTTTCTGCGCTTACGGTTTTTCTGCGCAGGCATTTGAAAAAGATACAAGTTAAGAGTGAAGAAGAAGACTAGATACATATTGTTATTCTCATGTGTGGATGTCTCAAAATCATCATTTAACCCTTTAGGGGCCAAACTAGCATAATGTGCTAGAACTCATAACTCAAATATATTTTCTATACAGTGTCCTGCCTTTCCACTTAGTCTACATAAATGTTTTGAGTTTCTGCAGAAGTGCTCTTTAGATTAGAAGTCTTCACATTGCCATAAAGTTTCTGGTTTGCAAATTCAAGGCTAAATACTGGCATTATTCCTCATGTTATAGTAGCATTATTAGCATTTTATTTCTGTTTTAACCTCGTTTTATTTTTGTACTTGTCTTGTGCACGCTGGAGACTTTTGCAAATGTATTCCAATGTTGTTTTACTGCCAATGGCAAATAAAATTAATCTGAATCTATCATAAATGTAGTGTCTTTGAAAACGGTTTTTTTAGTGGCAAAAACCAATACATAAAACCGTACGTCTTTCTTTGAGGAATCGTCATCGTCGTCGGCCATTTTAGAGGAGGACTTTCTATCGAGTCCATCATCATTGTCGTCATCTGTCGAGGTGAAACCATATTTAAAATGTTTGAAATGGGGGAAACATGTTGAAGTTTACTGAGGTGGACATCTCTGACCTGCTGCGACCGTGTTCTGCTCTTGTCTGATCTCCTTCAGTTGCAGGATCTTCTCCAAAGCCTGAGGAATCTTTGGTCCAGCGACAGTCATGTCGTCATTTTGCCAGGGCTAAAAGGAGGACAATGTTTATACTGTTAGAATATCAATATGAATTCACTCAAATGTGTCAATATAAGCAACACCCAACCTCTCTGTCGTCACCAGGTGGAATGTGACCCCTCTGTTTTTGGTTAGGGATGAGACCAGGAGGCAGCGGCCCTATGTTCAACAGAGAAAGTAGAGATGTTAATTTTGGCATTTGCAGAAAAACAAATGTAGATATTTGAAATAAACCAAACCTTGTATTAAGCTGGCAGTGGGCATGCCTCCTTGCATCTTTGCCATTTCATGCTGACGCTCTTGTTCCAGAAGGACAGCGGCCTAAACGGAGATGAGCAAATTGAAAAAGGGACAAGAAACTACAACCAAAATGAGTCTATAAATGAGTATGTAACTCACTCTTTTCTGTTGTTCCAGAAGGTTGTGCTCATCCATGACTCTGGAATCTCCCTGTAAAATTACAATCAGATTAATCAAAGGAAGTGTAAGCCAAATGTTGACTCAAACAGTTCAGTTCCAACCTGCTGCATCTGCTCCTGCTGCAGCACCATGGCGGCTCTCTGCTGAACCATCTTCAGCTGGTCGTCATGGGACATGCCAGGGTTCATCCCAGGCTCCATGCGCATGCCTGGTGGACGGGGCCCTCCTGGCATCATGTTCAACCCTGGCATCATCCCCATGCCGGGGGGTATTGCCATCTGCGCAATGGGCATACCACCCCTCTACGCAAGAATACATAAGTAAAACAACAATTAGAACAGCCGACTTTACTTTGGTAAATATAATATATGCAACATATACAAGCATTTAATTACCTGAACATCAGGTTTAGTGACAAGTACCCCAGTCTGTAAAGCAAAAGCATACAGTAAGTGCCAATGCACAGGGATAGTAAATACACCATAGTAAACAGAGGGAGTATTGCCCTCACCTGGATCATGTAGCCCTTCAGTCTGTCCATCAGCTCCTCTCTGGGACCTGCAGGACACATCAGGAAACATCAGGACATGAAGACTCTAAACAAACACAGGCTGCCTCCAAAACAGTGCTAGCTCCTTCATTGAAGTTAAGTTGGCCTGCTGCTGGCTCCAAGTGAAGGATTAGACAGAGTTAGAGCGAACCTGACTAATAACTTCCGGAAACAGAAGTTAATAGACTCCAGAGTGACACTGTGCAGCAGTATGAACGCACTACACACAGGTTTGTATTAAGGCTTTTACTAAAGTCCCATCAGTTAGCTCAAGCTAGCTCGAGTTAGCCCCGTCTGGACCGCACGCAGTCGCATGCCCCTGTTCTCACCCATGTTTGGAGCTCCTATCTCCGCCAGCCGCGCCGCTAGCTCCGGGTGGCTCCATGAGTTCAAAGCCGCGATCGCTGCGCCCAGATCGGCTGGAAGACCCTCTCCTCCCGGGGGCCCTTCAGATGCCATGTTGAGGTTTTGCTCAATGAAACAACGGCCGCGGAAACCGGAAGAAGGACGAAACCGATTCCGGCGCAGAGCACGATGGAGTCCCGAACAGCATGATGGGAATAGTAGTCCAACTTCAACTGTAAGTTTTAATTCTAGCCACTAGGTGTCAGTGTTTACACCCTGACTCAGCCGCCTCATGTTGTACAAAACTAGGATGTATTATATTGGCTAAATCTGACATATTATTTAGGAATCAACGGAAATTTCACGAGAATTTCAACACTTTGAAATGTTTGGAAATGTTGCAATGTTGTTAAATAACATTTGCGAAATATATTTGTTTGTAATATTGTTCTGATATTTTGACCCAACATTAGACTGTAAATATCCAATACAGTCTATATAATCTATATATCCAACACGCAGATGAATACGGTACATTTCCATTTATATCATAATTCAATCTTAGATTGAAATTTTCTATTGACAATGTCTTATGCAATGTTGATATTTACAGTCTAGAGTTGATATGCAATAAAAAAAAAACAAAACATACATTGTTTTCAAATGGGGCTGTACTACTGTGAATCAAGGTGAATCCCTCCCCACAATCAACACCATCCAGTGTCATCCACCAGAAAAACCTTCAGAGTTTAACTGTGATGAAAAGCTGTTTCTCAGCAGAAATCTGGTGAAGGCAATAATAATGAGCAAACTCCAAAGGATTGCAATAATCTTATATCATTGTCCAGCCATAGTCTCAGAGGGAAAGTGGGGGAAAACCATAGACTGTAAAACATAAAAAAACACTGCAAAGTATCTCGTCAATCACGACCAAACAGCTACTACAGATCACGACAAGCCAAAGTGCGCATGCGCACACACGGCCCGGAGCAGCGAGAGGCGCAGAGAAGGTGCACTCAGGGCGTTTCAGTCCAAAAAAACAAAACCGCCTTTGCGCCGAGCGAAGGGGAGGGCTCCAGAGACGCGGAACATGGCACAACGGGGAGAAAGTTAGCTGTCACATTTCATGTCCGAAGCGAGCGTTTACGGAGAAGATCATTGAGGTAACTTTCCCTTCATTCCCATGTGTTTCTGTTTGTTCTAACGCTGCGGCACATTGTTGGCACGCTGCTGTGGAAGGAGTACTTTAACTACAACTTGGGGGAGAAAAAAACTGAAAGCATGAAGAAATCTCCTGAACTGCTTTTTTCTAAGACTGTCTTTGTGCAAATCTTTTCCTTCTTGTGTTTAGTTATGCCGTTTTATGGAGAAATGCCAACTGTGTTACTTCCAGCTTTAGAAGTTTGCAAGTCAGGCAGCTGGGCATTGGGTATTGTAAAGAGGACCACACCCACCTTTACAAGGGCTTATCTCGATGAGCCATGCATTTTAAGTTTGTATATCTGTAAATATAGGCATTACTATAATCTATGTCCATGCTGGCTGCCTAAATCTGACTATATATTTCTCTCATATATAAAAAAAAAACAAACAGCTCTGCATATGGTCCCAATGGTCAGTGTGAGTGTCTTGTTTCTTTTTGCAAGGCTATTTTCTGCAATGCTTCAGCCCAGAGACACTTCAGGTATTTAATTTCACTGTAAACACTGTATGGAACATGAAGCCAGTCTGTTAAAATGCTTACTCAGAGCTAAAACACACCCACTCATGGATAATTACAAGTTTTCACTGTGCATTTGGGGACTTCCTCATTACAGTTTGTTTCATGCCAGACACAAACATCAGCAAAAAGTCTCTCCAGGTTTTCTGCATTGTCTGGTAAACCCTCAATTCATTTTCAGTAGATCTGTGGATGTATGTTGATTAGAGTCAAGGCAATGGATAGATTTATCATATAATAGATAGCCAACACACTAGTTACATACTAGTTTTCTGTCTTCAACTAACGGTCAGTGACTTTTAGAATCGCTACAAAACATTACAACATGGCACCGGACCAAACGAGGAAGTGAAACAAAAAGGAACTACACGTATCTTTAATGGGATCTATTATAATGTCGTAATGGGACTACAAAAACAATTCTCGAAAGGAAATGACAATATTGCGTTAATGTGTAAATGCAGCCACATCACTCAGAGACAGTATGTTGGAATAAAGACAGTTTTTATATGTATTCAGATCACATTGTGTAATGAGGAAGTTGATTTGGGAATGGTGTTTTTATTCATTTTTATTATCACAACACACTTATCACTTCATTTAAGGACACATGCATAAGGTAGCAACATCAGCGTCTGGTAGATTGTGTTTGCCAATCTGAAATGTCTCCCCTGTGGGATGAATAAAGGATCTCTTAATCTGCTCGTGTCATAGGAGTAATTGAGGATAACTGAACGACGGGCTATGCATTAGGGAGGCTAAATGATGATTACTAATATTACTGCTCTATCTACACGTTTGCATACACCCAAGCAGACCGTATGCCTTTGAGAACTTCCAGAATATGAACAACACTCACAGAAATGTTGTGGTGGTTCTGAGTTGAAGCCTCTTCTTTTCAAAATCATAAATTCAACAGAAACTAATAGAAAGTAAAAAGATAATTACAAAAATGTGTACATACAGTTTTAATATTTTGACTGAAATTGAATTATTCTTCAAAAAATTATGTTTGAGGGGGTGACAGTGGCTCAGTTGGTATGGCATTAGCCTTTGGGCCTGAAGGTTGTGGGTTTGAGCTCACCATAAGACCTACTTCACAACTTTCACTGATGTCTGCTGCTGTTGTGGGCAAGACACTTAACCCCACTTTGCCTGAAGCCCCCACTGGAAGATAAAGGCCCATGTGGACTCACCACCTGCAGGAGGATCAGTGAGGGGCTGGTGCTCTGTGTACTGGGTGCAGCCCTGACTGCCACCCCCGACCCGGAAATGGATTAAGGGGAAGACAATGGATGGATGTATAAATTAAGTATGAATCTGATGTGATGGAAAAAGCCTTTTTTATTGATCTGTATAGTTTTGTTCAGAATTATATTGTATTGTATAAAATTAAAAGCCTTCTCTGTATCAAGACGCGTATCGTAAGCAGGCTCTGAAAAAGATCCAGCTTCCCATGAGCGAGATCAAAAGTTTAAACACCCTAGTGATTCTTTGTTGCACAAGTGTCACACACATGTTTGATTTTTGTATCAAGGTCACCGTTCATGACTCCACCAGGAAAAATAAGCTCATCATTCACAACCTCTGAAAAAGTCTCAAATCATGCCAGGGTATCTAAACTTATGAGCACAGCTGTATACGAATCAAAGTGAGGGCTGGTGAGTCAGGGTCCCGGGCCCGGGGCTGTGTCCGTGTTGTCACTTGTGATCCTCGTCACGCACCTGCACAGTGGCTCTGCCGTGTGCTCCACATCTACTGTACGTTGGTCAAATCAAATATTCATTAAAGTCAGAATCTTCTCGTGGCCAAACTGATGCTGGAGCGACGAGGGCTAATGGACTGCAGTGTGCTAATTATTAAACATTGAGGCTATTTTTGGAATGGCTCCTGGGTTGTGCTTATTGCTATTGTTGCAGAAACCTGTATTCATTAAACTTGGGCTGAACTTGAATGTAAGGATTTAAACGTTTTTTTTTTTATCAATACTAAAACAAGCATTAAAATTAGAAACTCGGTCGAGGAAAATATTGATACTGAAAAAAAATACACAAACGGACAAAATGGGTGGATCCAATGTACTGCATTTTATTTGAACTAGTAAAAGAGATTGGTTTCTGATTTGTCCGTAGATATTTTGTATAGATTTTTGTACATAATTAATATTTGATGACGTTAACTTTGAAGCAGTATTATTACTATTATTAATATTATATAAAATGTATTACAAATGTACATGTCATTTCCAACAAGCGCCAAATTATACATTATTATTAATACAAAATGATGGTGTTTTATTTGAGTCATTTTGTTAGTATTGAAATCGAGGTTGTAATATTTGTATTGCGAAAACTTTTTGTCTTAATATCTGTGCCGATAATTAGTCAACCTCCGCTTCCTGCCATCACATCCCATTTACACCCATTAACAAAAGTATGATAATCCAGCTGTGGTGACAGAAGGAAGGAGTTAAAGTTGTAAAAGCTTGAGAAATCCAAAACTCCAAAAATAGCCCACAGTTTCCGTGTGCGAGGGACAGATATAGAACACAAAAACGACGGCGAAGAAAGTCTAAAAATCCGAGTTGATCTGAGGTGAACTAGTTTCTTGAATGTTTACGTCTGTATCCTCACTGGCTTTGTTTAATTAAACCGCCAGATAAAGAAGATTTGCTTGTTCCTGACCTTTTTTTTGTGCTTCAGTTCACCACAAACTTCCTGCGCCATGAAAAATACAGAGCTCCAATATTTGTAGAAGATTAAACATTGACTAGCATCAGCGGGTTTAGTGTCCAAGATGACATCAACCTGGTTTCCGCTGTTTTTCAGACTTTTTCCTTTTGAACAGCAGCTTGAAGATGTAGGGAATATATTTATTTTTAATGATACAATTTTGCATAAAACAATGTATTTGATGGTCTTTTTTTGGTCATTTTTTGTCAGTTGAAATAGTTAACACGCTTACATCCCACCTTGTTTTATTTACCATTTATTCCAATGTAATCCAGGCTAGCAAACTTCCAAAAACATTCATGTAATAAGTCTCTCGCTTTCAAAACAGTTTGGTTCTATCACCAGTTTTTGCATTCATGTATTTTCTTGGCTTGCAGTCACGTGACGCATCAACATCCGGTTAATGAAGTGGTGGTCAGGCCAACAAAAAAAGCTGCTGATTTGTGAAAAAAATGTGACTCTTCTGTCGAGTATTTTTGTGCTTTTATGTATATTTCATGACACTTTGAAGCTATTGTGGTTAAAGTTCTAACTCATTCTAACAATATGCACATGGCAGTATTTTTCCACTACATGCTTTGGTTATCTACACGATCCTAGACTGTCATTTTCTTCACTTTAGATTCTAATTCTCGAGATCGATACATCGAAAAAGTCAAATTGTGTAACGGTGTAGATCCTAATATGATCCTTATGCGTTATCCAAGAATGATTTGATTTGCGAGTTTGAAAAAAAAGCCGCCTGTTCTCGGATATCTCAAACTATCTAGTGTTACAATCGAGCTTTTGCACCGCTGATCGAAAGCATGGATGCCTAAAATTTTTTCGTCCGTGGGTGGGTTAAGGAACTTGGAGTTAAGGTTAAGAGCCGTGTAAGTAATGATCGGTGAATGAACTCAACAAAACAATGCATGTGTACTGTGTTGTTTTCAGGTCAAACATTCACAGTGTTTATTTAAAACGCCAACTCATACCTGACAATTAATCAAAAATAAAGATGGGGATGTAATAACTGCGCATTGTGACTGCACGGCTGGGTAAATAAATAATCATTCGATGTAAAAGCGTTGCTAGTGAAATGTTAGCGAGCCACTTTTCCTGCGTGTTTTCGTAAAGTCCTTAGTGCGAAGCTCTTCATTAATCTCTTCACGAGGAATCCTAAAGTTTTCCTAGTCGGTTTCGCAATTTGATCGCTTAGAACAACGTAAAACATCACATGAAAGGCCTATTCAACACGCTGCTCTAGTGTCTGGCCAAATGTAGTTCTGTAACCTTTCCCTGACTCAGGTTGCCAGATAAGCAGACGAATCCAGTTGGAACCATATTTGAATAAAGAGTCTTGTCAACAACAAATCTATAAACAACACCTTTTTCACAAAGATAGAAATCCTCGTTTTATTCCTTGTAATTCCTTCCAATCATTTTGTCACTAATGATTTTAGAATCATAACAAGACCCAGATCACAGACTTTCTGATCGGTAAAACGGTGGAGGGCGGGACATCGAAATGAAAACAATAACAAGATTTAGGGGCTGTTAATTTAAATGTTGAAATCTAAATATCTCGGCTGAACTACAGTTTAAGTAGTATTTGAAAGGCATTTTTGACAGATTTGGGCCATTTAATGATGGATTGACCTGAAAATCTTACATATTGCTTCTTTAAAGATAAAGGTAAGACAAAAACAAGATTTAGATCAGCTTTTTCATATAGAAAAGTGAAAAAGAGAGGACCTTGAGAATCAGACTCTGACCAAACAGGATCTTGTGCATCTAGCGTGGTTGTTTATTCACAAAAATGGCAGTTGATTGAGACAGAGCAGTTTTCTCAGTTGTCTCAGTTTTTCTCAGGTTTTGGAAATCTGACACCTCCCTCACTTAGCCAATCCGCTCTGGGCTAAATGTGCCAAACAGTGACATGTTTTCTAATAAGATCTGATTTGTTCACAAGATTTTACTTTTAAAGGATTACGTTGAGACAAGCACCAGGTGTTATTTATGAGCTGGGTTAGGCTTTTTTTGAATTGATCTGATATATTTCTGTTAATTCGCACACATCAGCATTTTTAGCTCAGATAATTATTGCAACCCAATAAGTATACACGCACTTATTCAGATTCACCATATCCATTTTTCTATACATTTCCACCTTAACCACACGTTGCATGTCCTCTTTTAGCAAACATTATCCCTTGAGTAAGTAGTAAGTATAACGTAAATATAAAGTATAATGTTAACAGTCACTGAAAACCTCACTTGGAGAGCTTAATTCTACAATAAAACTTCAACTATGTTTCGGAGCGGTGTGGTAAAAGTGGCAGCGTCATGTTTTGTCTGACTAATCCCTGTGCTATGCGCTCTGAGCACATATGTATTCACTCGGATCCAAAGCAGAGAGGCTGCATTTCTCTGAACGTTGGCTCAGGGTGGATCTTTTGTCCGGGGCGTACAGCGGTGACCAATGCTTTCCAACTACCGTACTTTAAATGTTGGTTTGTTTACATTGAGCTATAGTTCTTTTCTCTGAAACGGGAGTGAACGAGGGAGTAGCTTCTTGTACTTAGAGCCGTTTAGAGCAGTGTTTTACTGTCGGTTATGGGAAAGTTGTGAGGCTGATTATCAATATTTTATGCTTTAAACTATCCCCGGACATACAGTTCACTAGGAATGTATAGAATAGACTTTCCACTTCTAAAATAGTCAATTTTCAAACCAAAAAATGATTTAAAAAAACAGTGTATTTATTCATTATGGGTGTGACGACTGTGTGATTCATATTAAGCGAGTCTTGTAAGATTATTCTATTGTGTTTAAAAAAAAAAAAAAACTGCTTGCTTATTTATGAGGCTAAAATTCACCAGCATGGAGGAAATTGCATTTGGTAATAAAACTCCTCGGGAATGACCCCTCGAGCCCAGGAGGAGACTGCAATGCATAGTTCAAGAACAGTAGGATTGTGAGTTTCCCCACAAAAAACAAAAAAAAACACATACAGAGCTTTTAGAATACTGAGAAGATGAAGTATTCAGGAATGTGATGTGAAACAGACAAAAGGTGGAACCCTGTAACTTTCTAAAGTCATTGTCGGAAATGAATAATAGGAAAATATGTAAATGTAGAGAAATGTTTGAGGGAAGCTCGGTGGCTACAGATATTTTCAATTCTGTCAAAAAATATATCTCTTCTTTGAGCGTTGCTTGTCTTGTATCATGCTTTACTAAAACAATACAAAAACTAGTCATGCTTCCTCTGTAAAAAACCTAAACATGTGTTGTCCAAAAACTGAAGTATTTTTAGTGAATTGCCATTTTGAGAAGTTCAAAGGTGAAGTACAACCATTGGCTAACAACCATTTCAACGTAATCCCCCCAATTTACCGATAGTGAAGAAATTATAACAACTTCTTGATAATAATAATTGTTAATTCTTGTGTCTGTCTTTTTCAGGCTCGGGCCATTTACCCCGGCGTGGAACAGCAGCGCTTGGATGATTACTTCCTCTGTAACGAGGAGAAGATTTCACTGTGGAGACCGCGGATCTTGTGCGTCGATTGTGTTTTCCGCTGTATCCGAACCACAAGTAGCCGTGACAACGCTGCAGCGCTGGTACTCATCCATTTTTGATGTTGTCTTAATGGCAAAGCATGCTTCATCCTGATTTATGATCAAGTCCCGCAAACCATTACCAGCACCCTTGAGTTCGTTTTTTCCCCCATCCCCTCTCCCACTGTTGTCGTTCCATTAAAAATTCACACGTTTGTTGCCTCCGTACAAGTGCCGTGAGTTGTTGGCCTGTCCGGAGCTCAACATGGTGGAGCCCATTTATGCCACAGGTATGGCCGCCCGCCTCAGGAACCAGTGGGACCGTAACGAGGGACTGGGGCAGAACCACAATGCGGTGAAGTTCCTGGGGCAGGATTTTGAGTCGCTCCGAGCCCAGTGCCTCCGCAGCAGAAGCCTGTTTGAGGACAGCTACTTCCCCACGACCACCGTCTCTTTGGGCTTCAAGGAGCTGGGCCCGCAATCCGCCAAGACCCAAGGAGTCCGCTGGATGAGACCCACCGTGAGTAAACCTGCATTCTCTTTTACGTTGCAGCGATGTGAAAGGATTAGTTTGATCTGATCTGAACTCGTGCTGAGATCTGAGTGAGGACTTTTTTCATATCTCAGACGGACAAATGAAAGTCTCTGTACTCCTCCTACTCCTTTCACTCCTCCTACTCATCCTACTCCTGCATCTCCCACTCCAACTTCTGCAACTCCCACTCCTCATCCTACTCCTCCTACTCTTATCCTCCTCCCCCTCCTCCTCTTACTCCACCAACTGCCCCACTCCTCCTATTCCCTTTTCTCCTTCTCCTCCAAATCCTCTTACTCCTCCACCTCCTACTCATCCTTTTCCTTCTACTCCTTCTACTCTTCCTACTCATCCTACTCCCCTATCCTTCTACTCTTCCTACTCATCCTACTCCCCTATCCTTCTACTCCTCCTTCTCTCCGGTGCTACAACTTTGTTATTTTTTACGTTGACTTATTTTGCGTCAATGTGATCGATTACATTTATATTTACCAGAAATGAAATAAAAAATCTATATATGCATAATTAAATCAAATCAAGTTTTTTTTCTTCTTTATGGTTGGAAAATCCCCCATCTCTGTAGTATGTGTAGTCTATGTAAATGCAGTGAATGTGTCTTGCCTAAGGACACAATGTCGATGGTGTGAAATAGAAGCAGACGTCTCTACTATCGAGCTGAGACCACACTTCCAAACGTCAGCAAGCATTTCTGTCAGAGTCCCTGCAGTCCTGTCAGGGTCTATGCTGTCCTGTCAGGGTCTATGCAGTCCTGTCCGGGTCTATGCTGTCCTGTCTGGGTCTATGCTGTCCTGTCTGGGTCTATGCAGTCCTGTCTGAGTCTCTGCAGTCCTGTCAGGGTCTCTGCAGTCCTGTCAGGGTCTCTGCAGTCCTGTCAGGGTCTATGCAGTCCTGTCAGGGTCTATGCAGTCCTGTCAGGGTCTATGCAGTCCTGTCAGGGTCTATGCAGTCCTGTCAGGGTCTATGCAGTCCTGTCAGGGTCTATGCAGTCCTGTCAGGGTCGATGCAGTCCTGTCAGGGTCTATGCAGTCCTGTCCGGGTCTATGCAGTCCTGTCCGGGTCTATGCAGTCCTGTCCGGGTCTATGCAGTCCTGTCCGGGTCTATGCTGTCCTGTCGAAAGTCTATGCAGTCCTGTCCGAGTCTCTGCAGTCCTGTCAGGGTCTCTACCGTCCTGTTCGGGTCTCTGCAGTCCCGTCAGAGTCTCTGCAGTCCTGTCAGGGTCTATGCAGTCCTGTCAGGGTCTCTGCAGTCCTGTCCGGGTCTCTGCAGTCCCGTCAGAGTCTATGCAGTCCTGTTGAAGTCTCTGCAGTCCTGCCCGGTCCCATCCCTGTACTTGGGGTCTTAAAAGCTTTGAGGTGGTGACCCGCTCGTGCCTGCAGCCTCTTAGCTTCAGCTGCGCTCCTCACATATGTATGATTTACATCTCCTAAAATCTCCGCTCCTCTATAATGCACGAGTCCCACCCAGGCCATACGCTCGTTAATATTTACTACAATATTCTTTTTATACGCCTCCTTCTTAAAATGTATATATTTGGTATTGCTGTGTGCTGTGTGTCATAGTCGAACAGGAAACTAAACTATTATCACAATTTAAGTATATATTCTTTCTTGTATTTATAGTCATTTGCTTTTGTTTTCTGTTTTCTGTTTTGTTTTTACAGTTTTTTTTATTTTTATTCTATGTTCAAATAAACATTCAAACAAACAAACATATGATTATATCCTGGAAACACATCTACCAATCATATCATATAATAAAGAATATATTTAGATCATAAAGGACACTGCTTTTTAATCATTTTGAGTCTAATAGTGCGGTTTTACAAATGTTCTGGTGTCAATAAACAAAATAAACCTGCTTTATGCCCCTGACACAATTACAATAAAGCACATGGTCATTATCATTAAAAGGCCTCAGCTGAATCAAGTGAACATAAAAGTGATGTATTCTTCTCTCTCCAGCTCAAACTGTGATGCGGTACAAAGAAAACGCATTCAATCTTCCCACTTTGGCAAAGAAAATGCACGTACAACATTATCGAGGCCCAAATCATATTGATTTACTGTAGTTTTGGCTTCGACTCCTCACTCTGAGCCAAACCCTGACAAAAAAAACTCAAACTAGGCCTGCACCGTTTTATATCCGACCAATATTTCAAAAATCACAAGTAGGATCTAGTTTCAGGGCGGCAGTAGCTCAGTTGGTAGAGCGTTGGCCTTTGAGCCAGAAGGTCGTGGGTTCAAGCCCCGCTCAAGACCTTCACCATCAACTCCCACTGACTACTATCGTTGTGTCCTTGGCAAGACACTTAACCTCTGGGAACACCAGCCACAGTGGGGCGGCTGCGGCTGTAAAGTGCCAAACTGCCGTTGTGTCCTTAGGCAAGACACTTCACCCCCATTGCCTAGAATGAGTCTGGTGTGTGTGTGAATGGTTGGTGGTGGTCGGAGGGGCCGATGGCGCATACTGGTTGCCTCGCTTCTGTCAGTGTGCCCCAGGGCAGCTGTGGCTACAGCAGTAGTTTATCACCACCGTGTATGGAGTGAATGAATAATGACACATGTGAAGCGTCTTTGAGTGTCCAGAAAAGCGCTATATAAAACCGATGCATTATTATTATTATTATTCTATATTTTATTATTACAGAATCACGAGAATTCAGAATTGAGAATTTTCTGGTAAATACTTAATAATAGATACAATTATAATTATCTACCTCCTATAATGAAGATACAGTCTTTTCTGAACTCAAGCACTTTTTAGCTATTTTTGTTTTATTTTATATTTGCATGGGACTTAAGAATCATTGCCGTCTTTTGATCTGACTGTCAGCCCTAACTCTGCCCATAACAACAGATGCGTTCCTTTTGTAAAGTGGTGGCGCTCGAGGGAAGCAGCGGGAGCGGGGTCTGACCTCTCACAGGCGCCGCTCTTGTGCCCTCATGCGTGACAGTGTGCGCCCGTGCAGCTGTGTGTGTTGATCGTGCGACGTGACACGAGATGAATTTGATCTTTTTATAGCTCCGTGCGACGATTCTCCTTCGGTATCAGACATGCACCGCTCCAGAAGAGGACGGACTTCTGTTGTTTTCATGAGCCTCAAAATGGATGTGAAACTCGCCCGCGTTACACTAAAGGCACGAAATACGACCATAACCATCACGCATATTCATTTATTTTCCCGACCTCACTTCTAGGCCCGTCACCATAACGCTTTTTGTTTTACTGCTTTAAAACTATTACTACTGTTATGTCACGCAGACACTTTCATCAGCGTAATCTCAGGAAAATCATTCTTCAATTTCACCATTTCATTAAAAAAGCATGCGCAATGAAACTAAACAACAGAGACTATTTAGCCATTAAAGAAACGATCTACAGCTACACTGTTTTCTTAATTCTCAAAACTCACAGAGAACTTCAAAGAGTTGTGTTTCTTAAATAGTTTTGTCATATATAACTTACTGAGAGGGGTCGTGGCATGTGTTTGAACCTGCTTTTAAAAGATCTCGAAGGTTTTTGACGACTTTTCTGAACGCTGGAAGAAGGGATTTCCTCTGTGGCAAAATGTTACATCTAAAACAAACTGGTTACTTATCAAAAGACTCAAAAGTACAACTCGAGAGAAAGGATCTGATATGTGCCAACTTATCTTTTAGAAATAGGCTAATGTTAACCCTATCACTTTTGTCATAACTTCAGAAAGCCTGAACCCAGCAGACCTGGGGACAGAAACTAAGCAGGGCAGGAGCTGGTTTATACTGTGCCAGACCTTTGGGAACACTAGGTGCCACAGTTGGCGGCTGCTGCTGCAAACAATCAAACTGCCACTGGGCAGTGGGTCAAGAGACTTGACCCACTGCCCAGTATGAGTCTGGTGTGTGTGTATGATCGGTGATGGCACAGATGAGTAGCCTCGCTTCTGTCAGTCTGCCCCATGATATTGCTACAGTTATAGTTTGTGTCATATAAAGTGTCTTTTGAGAAGAAGTGCAGGCTGTGGCTGTAAAACCAGATGCACATAATCAATAAATAAAAAGGAAAAGTATCCCGTTATTGCAGGACTATAAGTTTTGAACCCTGTGGCGTCTACAGCGATGAGGCCAATGTTTGTTTACTGTGGTAAAGTCAGAGCAGAGTTTATGGACTCATAATAATTTGACTCCAAGTTGTTTTAGTAGCTATTGAAAGCTTGTTTAATGTCACATTAGAGAGCATGCTTACCTCAATTCTTCCATACCTCGCTTCCCTAATTCTAACAAGAGTGAATGTTTGCATCCTCAGAGTTTATAGATTTATTCAACACCTCATCAGTAAATCATGTTAAAACAGTCGTCTATCGGCTTTGTTTTCTGTGTGCTGTTGGTGAAGTGCTCCATTACATCAGAACCTGCAGCTTATATTCAAGTGGAGCCTATATGTGGACAATATGTTTTTTTTTTCTAAATGTAGCTGGTGCGGTTTCTTATACAGGTCTGCTGAATAGTGCTGCAAGTACTGTATATGTGTTCACCATTTATTAAGTCTACAGTGCAAATATATTGTATGGGATGAAAAATCAGATCAGCCCATCCTTATTAGCTATAATAACTGCGCTGATTATAGTTCTACAGTAACATATTACTTGTTTGTGATATTACTAGTGTAGGATGTTTGTAGTGTAACATATTTCGAGTGTAACATATTTCTAGTGTGTGACATTTCTCGTGTGTTCAACAGGAGATCTGCAGGAATCCAGAGTTCATCGTGGACGGAGCGACGCGCACAGACATCTGCCAGGGAGCTCTGGGTGAGTCCCACTGGACACTACCGCCACATGTCTCTACTACTGTTACTGCTGTCACTACTGCATGATCCAGCGTCTACTTGAGCCGCTGAGACGCACCATCACATTTATACGACCCTTGGAGCAAACAGCGACAGCACATTATCATTGCCGTGGTTGTAATGGCCACTGGAGAGGAGTTTTATTCGCAGAGTTATTTCAGCGGATGAGCCCGTACAGAGTTTAATCTATAATTCATGCATTGTTTCGCTGACTCTAATCTGTAAACAAGGCGGCGTGAGCTTTGTGGAGCGCAGTATGAGGCAAGCAATACTCAAAGCACACGGCTCAAAGAGCGGGCAACCCAGATTTGTCTGAATACAGATATGGCTGAATGTTGAATGAATTACATTTCTCTGCAAAATGAGATAAAACACTCAAAGTTAAGGGTTTAGAGCTGCTTGGACTGATGGATTCTTGGTATGGTGTAAAATCTAGGCAAGGCATCATGAATAGTGTATTCAAAAGAGTGAAGATAAGTTAATATGCACCGTTTTTTACCTGCAGTTAAACATTGTCAGAGTAGAAGCCTGCCTCACATTTTCTGGAAGACTGGTCCTGATTTTAGTTACATCTGAAATTCTGCCTCCCCATATTTAGTCCAGACTCTGGGCACCAGCAGGAGAGAGGCCAGTCTCTATACCCATACATCTACCATTCTGCTTTGGATTTGTTTTGGGCCATTACTGTCAATATGAAGTCTTGTAGAAGTTGTTTTCTATAGGATAACAAGGCCAACATATTCATAATGCATGGATAATATAGAACGACTGATTATAGGGATTAATTTCCAAGTTTAATCAATCAAAATGACTATAATGTGATCTATGAACAAAACTTCCACATATAAAATACTAAAATTTTTCCATTCCAATCCATATCCATACAAACATTTTGGCATAACCTTGAAAAGATTGTCCCGAGCTCGACCACTGGTCAAACAAACCGCACTAGCCTCAAAAACCCCACATCGGTCGATCTCTGGAGAATAATAGGGTGTCACTTTCAATGGCTCTAGTTCCACCTCAGCTGTTATTACGATACAGGCTTTATATCCATGAGTAAGGCTTTTCATTCATCTTGGCCAGGGGTGCTCAATACGTCGATCGCGATCTACCAGTCGATCGCAAAGGTAGTATTAGTAGGTCGCATTACACCAAAAAAAGAAAAACTCTGTTTATGCATTTGCGTGTGGACAGAGATAACCGGAGTTTTGCGTTTTTGCACGCCACAGTTTGCCCCCAAAACAACAACAACAACAAACAAAACGTGCGACCTCTGATCACTGAAGAAGGATCTTACTGCCTTAAAAACTGTCCAGTGCTGCAGCGGTTCACAGCAGCGAACATCCTCGCTCCACATCAGAGAGCAGATCGCGCACGCTCGAAAACAACCAAAACAGGAGCTAAACCAGGATCAAACCAGGGCTGAGGACTGGGGTCAGTGCTTGTAAACATATGTCTTCACCGTGGATCTATAATACGTCTTCACCCTGAGTTTCTACTACGACTGTAAGTCCTGCTACAAAAGCACCGGCATCTGCATCTAAGCTCCGCCCACTTCTGTGTTTTTCCCCAACGCAGGACGTCAGAGGACGCACATGTTTGGAATGTTATGAATTTAATTGAAAATGAGATGTTCGGTTATGTGTGGATGCAAATTATTTCATAAATCATGCGGTTTTGCGTGTACATCAACATACATTGTAGATATTTAAAAAAACATATTTTTAGAATCAAATACATGTTTTGCAATTTTGTAGTAGGTAGATCCTTTTGACTTGATCATTTTATAAGTAGCTTGCATTCTGAAAAAGTGTGAGCACCCCTGATCTTGGCTGTGTGTGAAAGGCAGCCACTCCTCCATCAGTCTGCCTAAGGACATGTTTGTGTATTAAATTGTATCTATAGGTTGAGGTTTAGGTACGTAGACAGAAGCGCAGGGCTGTAACGATCCACCTTAGACACACTGCGATACATGGGCCTGACACGATGCATTTTAAATAATAATAATAATAATGCATGTGTTTTATATTGCGCTTTTTTGGACACGCAAAGACGCTTCACATTTCATATTCGTTCACTCCATACACGGTGGTGATAAACTACTACTGTAGCCACAGCTGCCCTGGGGCACACTGACAGAAGCGAGGCAACCAGTATGTGCCATCGGCCCCTCCGACCACACACACACATACACACACCAGACTCATTCTAGGCTATGGGGGTGAAGTGTCTTGCCTAAGGACACAACAACAGTTTGGCACTTTACAGCTGCAGCCGCCCCACTGTGGCATCAGGTGTTCCCAGAGGAGAAGTGTCTTGCCAAGGACACAACGACAGCAGACATCAGTGAGAGTCGTGGAGAAGGTCCCGTGGTGGGCTCGAACCCACAACCTTCAGGCTCAAAGGCCAATGCTCTACCAACAGAGCTACTGTCGCCACCGTTTTGCGATATCAATACAATATATCATCACATAATAACATATTGTTTCGGTACAATTAGCATCATAATAGAACTTTTTGAAGACTTACATTGTTTTTAAAGTCTTCAAAAGTGAAAGTGCACTTGTTTTGAACTGTTTTAGTCGATCGATTTCACAGTGACATTTGTTTACTGTTTTATTTGTTTTATTTTTGTCTTTTAATGTTGTTTTATGTCTGTATTTGTCTGTGCACACTGGAGACTTTTGCTAATGTATTCCAATGTGGTTTTTTTTAATGCAAATGGCAAATAAACTGAATCTGAATTTGAATCTGAAAAAACAAAACTTTTCAACTGAACAAAATCAAAACTGTGGTAATACTACAAATTAATTTACATTTTAACATTGACATACATTTGCTAAGTAACGAGGGCATGTACCAGTAACCAGTTCCTGAGAACCTATATTAAATTGTGCACTTCAGTGAATCACATGGACACACCGAGGGCGATACCTGCCGGCCGTATCGATACTCAATATTGTGGCTAACCATTTCTTTATTTAAGCCAAACACAAGAGCAACACATTCGTTAATAAACATAAAACAGTATCTGGTAACAAAATCAGAACACATCTATTTTGCCTGAAAGGGAGTGGGAGGAAGAAAACTTAATTTAATCCCACCCCATTTACAGCCTTTCATTATTTCATGGAATAAAATAATGAATGTTACCAGGCAGGAAATGACAAAGGCTGTGTTGGCGTTCTTGGAATTGTGTTGCAGTTTAGCTTCTCGGCGACTGCAAACTCAAGATTCAATGAAGAAGACGTAAGAAGGATTAATTCATAAGAAAGAAAACAAAGGAATTAAGCATGGTGTGTTAAGACAAGTACATTATAACCTCAATACACACAACAGAGGACGACTGAAGATCATCACATTTTATTTATTTTATTGTATCATTCATATATTTTGGTTTATTTTTTTTTATATTATTTTCATGCATGTTAGCAATGCTTTACTTATTTTTATTTTTTGTTGGAAACTATGATGAACAAGAGGTGACTGCTGCCTCATGTGAAATGCCTGAAATGAATAAATAAACAAACAAAAACAAACTTTTCTTGTTATTTTTGTTGTTTTGGCTCAAGGGGAAGATAGTGGGGAGTGTCTTTTTATGCTGTATGTATTTTTTGTATAAATACATATGGGAAGGTAAACAAAACCAGTGACGGTAAGACAGCAAATACCAACAATGGAAACAAGTAATAAACCAACAATAATAACAATTACATGATGAATCCTAACGCGATATTTTGCTAGAATCCTTCAAAAGCCTCAACGCTCAAAGTGTATAGCGCTGAGGCTGTGCGCGGGATAAAAAAAGCAGTACTCAGAGTTCCCAATTTTTAGGTCAGAGCCGTGCTTTTCATCTGAAGCGTTGCATGTGGTGTCATTAATTAAAAATTGGCAGCTCGAGTACAGCTGCGCTCCGAGGATCTTCATTCTCCACGCTTTAAGAATAGGATTGGGCAGTAAACTGAAGGGAAATGATGTGAAATATAAACGTAAAAGTATGAATGTGTCTGTAGGAAGGTGGAGGAGAGGCTGAATAAGGACTTGAAATGCAGGAATGCAAAATAATAATGATTTAAAGGAGCAGTATGTAAAAACCAAAAGTGGTACTGCAACCTCTCCCACTCTTCCTGACTGAGGCTGAGTTTACACGGAGACAATGTGGCAGTAAAACGCTATAGTTGGATGTCGGTTTCTACCAACCGTTCATACGAAGACTGTGTTTCAGGGGGGTGAAAACGTAAGTGTTCAGATCCAGCCTGCAGAGTGGGACAACTCAGAAGCGCTGCACAGCGGGGGCTCTCTTTCACACCCTTTGTTCGTCCAAACGAGACCACGCGAAGCTCTAGGTTCAGTTTCCATTTTCACAGCTGCTGTTAAAAGGCAGAATGATGTTGGTACTTTCTGAGGGTCTGGCACAGGAAGTGAGTATACTGCCGGGAGGGGGGCTGGGCACAGGGCTGGGGGTCGTGTGTCGTGTTGTAAAGTTCCTCTGCCCCCTACTGGCCGGGCGCTAGAACTACATCGTTTTTCAACCTCATGTGAACGCTGAGAAATTTGCATTAGGAGCCAGGTCGTTTCTGTTAATAGCCTGGAAACGTCTGCGCAGCCTCTCAGTATAAACGGGGCCTCAGGTGGCCAGTAATGCAGACGATTCCACCTGGGAACATAATAACTGAATGGACAAGAGTTTTGTCAACAACAAATCTATAACCAACACCTTTTTCACAAAGACCCTGATATAAATCCTCGTTTTATTCCTTGTTTTGTTGTTAATAATTTGAAAATCATACCAACACCTTTTTAGTTCTCCGGCTACATGTTACTTTACCAGTGAGATTAGATCGATGCTGTGGCTTCTGGCAACCTGGATCACAGACTTTCTGATCGGTAAAACGGTGGAGGGCGGGACATCGGAATGAAAACAATGACAAGATTTAGGGGCTGTAAAAGTAATTTTGAAATTAAAATATCTTGTTTGAACTACTGTTATCAGTGAAAGAATTTTTTGAAAAGAGCATGTTTTATGAATGCCTTTTGACTTATTAGGGCCATTCAAAGATGACTTGACATGAAAATCTTACATATTGCTACTTTTATGATAATAAAATAAACATCCAAGGTAAAAACAAAATATCAAAAAATTCAAATTAAACTCTGGAACCATGGACATAGACAAACAAAGACTATAGACCAGCAACAAGGAGAGAGGAGCACAGGTACAAATAGACACAGACACAGGTAAAACACATCAGGGCGGGGCAGACAGTCAACACCGGGGAACAGGAAGTTAAAATAAAACCGTCAAAATAAACCCGAAGTACAAAAATGACATCCACACCATGACAGAGAGAGCGCAGAGAATGGACAAACATGCAGCTTTGATTACGACTTCTATGTTTTATCAGATCAATGTTCACTCTTCACTCAGGGCTGGACCAACAAACTATTAGGCTCAGAACAGAGGTGTCAAACTCATTTTGGTCAAAGGCCGAATAAAAGATATGGGAAGTGGTCGAGGGCCGAAAGAATAGAAGGGTTTTTCTTTTCTTATAATATCTTTAAATAGTTTTTTACATTATGAAGTATTTTGACAATACATTTTCTGGTTGATTTTTCTGAAAACAAAATGTTTTTTATTGTTTAGATTGAACCAAAACTGGAAATATAAATTTATACACATCGCTTTATATTTAACTGTTCAATGGGTTCAATTTTTAGAATAGATTAAAGTTGGATTAATCTATTTATTAAATCTAAATAGTTGCCATGGTCGCTCATTATTATCAATGCTACAAGTTAAAAATATTAATTGAAAATCATTCTAGGGGCCACTAATAATTGTTTTATGGGCCTGATTTGGCCCACAAGCCTGAGTTTGACACGTCTGGCTTAGAAGGTTAATTTAATAAGACCAAATTGTAACGAATCTAACACTGCTTGATTACTAGCTTCTTTAAATTTTTGGTCTTATTAAAAGTACCTGATGACGTCGATGCCTCTTACCACCAATACTTATTTCAAAATCATTTCAAGAGCCACAACATTGGTAGAGTTTTCCTGCATAGCCTTTAGTTTGTGAAAGTATGAAGATATCTTGTTCTAATCCGTTTCAATCTGAAGTCAAATAATTGTGATTAGAGTTCTCCCCCCGTGAATCAGCAGTCCCGGCGCACGTGTGTGTGTGTGTGTGTGTGTCTGCACAGCGGTTGTCATGTTGTCGTCAGTGAGTAACCTAAAAGTGTCACGCTCTCTCTCTACAGCTGGAGAGGAGACTTTCCCAGCGGTTCTGTTTGGGTGACAGAGCCTATCACCACCACTCGGAGCTATTTTTAGATTTCATGGAATAAAATAATGAATGTTACCAGGCAGGAAATGACAAAGGCTGTGTTGGCGTTCTTGGAATTGTGTTGCAGCTTAGGATTATAGTTTTACAAGAAAGATGGGCAAGAACTGTATGTGGCAATTAGGGCTGAAACAACTGATCGATTAATCGACGACTAATCGATTATTGAAATAGTCGACAACTATTTTAGTCATCGATTAATCGTTTTCTGGTTCACACGGACTCAAACAGAGCAAAAATGACATGAAAATGTAGTATTTTTGATTAAAACCGACTTTGTTTTTATAATTTCATGAATATCTGTCTGTCTCATCCAATCAGATAGCAGAATTAGCACAAAGAGCCTGTTACAAACATTTACTTTAAGTTTACGCCATCAATACGTCCTCGAGTGTTGCCACTTTAGCTTTTTGTGATGAAAAAATAAAAAAATTCTACACAATTCACAGCCAAGCGATTACTCGATTAATCGTAAAAATAATCGATAGATTAATCGATTACAAAATAATCGTTAGTTGCAGCTCTAGTGGCAATGGGCCTAATGGGTTTTTGCGTGGCTCTAGCTATGTCTTTGTTCAAAATGATTCATGTGAATGTGTGGCCATTATGCAGGTGGAAAAATAACTTTGTTTAGTGTTATAGTTTTTACTTCTTCTTGACCTGATCTCGTGCTTTTTGAAATAAGTAAAAAAGAGCAACTTGAAGAGAGTACATAGGAAGCGATTACCTCGTGCACTTCAGAATTTTTTTTCGCAGGACCTTCTTACTTCACAGCAAGAAGGTCTCGGTTTTGATTCCACCTCCTTTCTGTGTTGAGTTTGCATGTTTTCCCTGTGTCTGCTTAGGTTCCCACCACATGTTCTGGTTTCCCCCCCCAACTTAAAACAAGTAGAAAATAAGTTAGAAGGTAATCCCTAATTATATACACAGACCAGTCACAAAGGGCTTTACAATTGATGGGAGCGGGGTCGCCGTACAGGAGGCACATGCCTGACCCATTGTACATGTTTTTAGAGGTAGGGGAATCCGGAGCACACTGAGGAAACCTACACAGACATGCAGAACTCCACACAGCAAGATCTGGAGGTGGAATTTAACCCTTCTTGGGTAATATGGATAAATATGAATTGACGTATCTGTATTTTAAGTAAGTAAGTAAGTAAGTAATGTTTATTTATATACCGCCTTTCACAGACCAGAGTCACAAAGCGGTTTACAATTGTTATTTTTTGGGCATTTGTCCTCTCACTGATTATTATAAATTTTAAAATCATGAATAATCTAATTGATATTCTACACTTGCATATTAGGCGGTCGGAGGTGCTCATCCCAAGAAAAAATTCCGTGTTTTACACAAAGCACAATGTGTCTATCCAATTGTCTGTGAAACTGTGTTATTGCTCTCTGCTGTTTCTTGCTTGCACACAAATGGCAAAGTGACACGCTCTCTGCCAAAACAATTCCCAAGTCGTAACTTTTGTTTGTTACTTATGTGGCAATGAAAATGATTCTGATTCTGATTAGATCTATGGTTACAATAATTATGTTTGTGTAATACCAGGTGCCCAGTGATGGCTGATCTTCAACTAAAGTGTTTTGGGTTTTTTTACTCCTAAACTTATTGTCAATATATTCTACCCATCACAATCTTAACATTAATATTTTTATGATGAGATACACAGAACCAATCCCTCAATATTTATTCTGTCTCTCCTTGCACTGAAATCCCAAAGCTGTAAATGGATCATAATGAAACAGATTTCCTTGTTACACCATTAGTCAGATCCCGAGGCTTGTCCGCTGCATTAGTAACCACCACGCCCCCCATTTCTCAGAAGGAAAATCTTGTCCAACCCGAGTTTACTTTGCACTTTATGAAAAACCAATGGACAAGTTTGAGTTCCACTTAGCTTTCAACCACATCCAACTTTTATTATTGCTACATGATTTTGTGCTTGTTCGACCTCGTGTAAATGGGAAACGTATGCTTAGCAGGATTCACTTCCGTTATATATTTAGTTTTGAAGCAACTGTTGTTTAGCGTTTGGAAGTCATTGGTCACACTAACCAGGGCTGAGTTCACACACACGCTGGTATTTGGCTCATGTTCTAGGATTCAGAGGAGAAAGGACCAAATTTAGGAAGAGTTGGACAATTAGAAGGTCCCAAATTGCAAATGGATTTTAATTAGTCAAATCCTGTCTTAATTGAGTTTTCTAAGAATGGGTTTCAAAAATGCAGATGAGTTCTTGCAATTAAAGAAGTTATGAAATCTAAAAAGTACATTTTTGGATTTCATAACTTTGTGACTTTTTCTGTCTATGTAGTTTATTTCTTTAATTTTGTAATATTCAAGGTATATTCACCAGTTTTAGCACTTATGTAAAATAAAAACTTTTATGGGAGTTTCAGAATTCTGGGAGTCCTGGTGTTAGATATTTAACCATTACTCAACTCAACACTACCCGGTACTCTTTTACTAACGGCCTGGCCCTGGGTCGAGTAGATACCCAAACAATCTGACGTCGGCAAACGTCAATTCTGATTGGTCAGAGGCGCTGTCAATCGCTCTTCAACTGCTGCATCAGCTGTTGGTAAAAACATAACAAACAACACGTTGCCTCGATCCATAAAGACGTCTGAACAGAAAACAATTCCTTAGTCGCTGGATGCGGGGTCAGGGTTAGACAACGGGTGAATCACCCCCATGTAGAGAAGTGGGGAATTACAGCCTGTTGCTACATAAAATACATAACATAATTTGACTGGAGAAATCCCCAAAACAACTGTATCTGTATTTGTTGGTGGAAATATCACATGATGGTTCTGTCTGAGTCCTACAAGCCTCAGCTCTTTCCTCGCCGCTCCTGTTGACGCGCCTCTGCCTCTCTGTCCTCAGGTGACTGCTGGCTCCTGGCGGCCATCGCGTCTCTCACTCTGAACGATGAGCTGCTGCACAGAGTGGTTCCACATGGACAGGACTTCAGGACCCAGTACGCGGGAATCTTCCACTTCCAGGTCAGAGGGCAGCACCTCCTGCTTTCACAAGGACAGTCAGAATGTGTGCCAAGCCAGGGATTAGAATTCTGCTGCTGTGCTAGCCTTATTCTGGATACAACTTATTCTGGTTTTCTTGCAAGCTGGAAGAAAACCGTATTAAACATATTGCATAAAATACACGTGTTTGAAAGATATGAAAAATTCTAAACAACAATCCTTCATCTACCTCTTTCATCATACAGTTCAAATTCCTGAGTGTGGTTACAGATGTGTATTTCAAAGCATCTGTAAGGGAGGATAACAAAAAAACTATTTCAAACTAATTTCCCCGCTGTGGGACTAATAAAGGCTTCATTCATTCTCTCGTCCAGCAGCTGTAACAAGTATCAATCGTTTCTTGATTTATTGAAATAATTTCCAAGTAATTCAGTAATTTTTTGTTAAACCTAACATGGACTTAACCCATTAAGGCCTGCATCGACTGGTAAAACAGACCTGCAAACCTGAGGCTGACTTCAGAACCACCCTCCAAAACCTGAAGTTTTCCTGAAATTCAACGTCTACAGAATGATTGGTATCTCGGCCTCTGTAGCCGATAGAAACATAATTTCAAAAGAATTTGAGAGCTGACACTTGTGGCTTTCAATAAGAATGCAGTGTATTATTGTGTGAGATGTGAGACAAACATTGATGTTTATCAATGCAATAAGTCAAAAAAAGTTTGGCAATTAAGTGGCACTAACTATGTGGAAAAAAATATAAAAATCCACTCTCAGCCCAAAAAGTCAAATAATGACTCACAAGGCTCTTTCTAAAGTAAAATAAACAAAACACGACTGTTTTGGTTTGTTCTGTTTGATTTGGTCACAACTTTAAATTTTTTGCCCAAAAAACATGCATTGTCAATGCAAGCAAAAATGTAGGTAGCTGAGCTTTATTTTTCAGTGAGTCTTGGCTGCGCTTTGTCAGGAGACTTCGGGGAGACGAGGGAGAGACTGGGAGAGACGGGGGAACAGATGAGGGAGGCAGCTTGTTGCACGTGCGGGTCTTGCCCGTCTCCCCCGTCTCTCCCTTGGTCCTGATCGCGCGTCTATGGCCCGCTCTCGGTACATGACCCCATTGGCTGCGCGTTTGCTGAGCTGTCAAAGCAGCCACTGTTGCTCCCGGGGTCAGAGCGGAGGATGTTAATCCCGTTCGAGTACGTAACGCAAACAACTGCCCGCGGTCACGCATTTCACCGAAATGAAATTTTCAGCGAGAAAAATTCGGAACTCGCGGATCCGCAGATTAGTCATAGGTCAAAAAATGAAAAAAAAGACATGTCCGCTTTCTCGGCCTCAAAGGTAGAAGTGCGCAACAGCGCTCCCGGCTTGAAAGGGAGAAACGCGGGAATGCGTTCCCGGCCTCGATGGGTTAAACATGCTGAGAAGATTCTGGAATAACTGCAGAATTAAAAGAAAATGTGTTAAGTATTAAAAGATCAACTAAACACCTGTGCCCAGCCTTACCCTGCCCACATTAACATTTGAAAAATAAATCTCTTAAAAGGGCGTTGCCCGGCGGACCAGGGGACAAGAAGGGGAGCTTAGAGTTGGGTGTGGTCTGGTTTGGGATTGACAAGCGAGCTGTCAATGTTATCAGCCCAAACAAACAAAAAAATCAGACAGTTGTCATTGCACCAGACATTCTCATTCCACCCTTGTTTACACACACTAAGATAATTGTATAGCTAGACAGCTCTAACCTAAGCCACAGACTTATGGCAGTAGTGGCTCTCAACTGATGAAATTTAATGTTAAACCGCTAGTTGCCAAAATACTCCAACTCGCTACAGGGCGTGTGTGAGACTTGGATAGTTTTATACCACAGGCGAAGAAGCGACAGACGTCACACAGCACAAAGCAACGTCACACTGCATTCCAGAGTCAATTATAAGAGGCCAGGCACAAAATTAGAATCTAGTGGCACTGAAAATGTAGAGAGGGCACCACATAGATTGTTTTAGGCTCAAAAGTGAGATTTTATCTAATTTGTACTAAAAAGAATGAGTTACAAAAAGTTGATTTTGTGTTTTTTCGGTGTTGGTGTCAATATGTAACAATGTTCTCCAGGGGCATCACTTGAGCTTTGTTTCAGTCACAACTCATCGATTAATCACAACTAATCTGCCAACTAATCAATTATCAGAAGCATCGTTAATTACCGCCTTAAAGCAGAAAAACAAATGAAGTCCCAATTTACTGACACAGGAGACTGCACAGAGGCCTCTTCAACTCTATTCCATGTATCAAAGCTAAAAAATAACAAATCGTGGCACATCTATAACTGTATGAATGGTCATGCGCTGCTTTGCTCTGCTCTCATAAACATAAACATAAAGCCTCAGGCGGGATTCGCACGTTCCTCCTCATTTATAGTCAAGTTTTCCTCCGGGTTTTCAGCTTCACACATCAACTCAGAATCCTGCATAACACAATTTTCCAGTTAAGGTGTTTTTTGACAACGACTATTTTTATCTGGAGATGATCCCTGGACGCCTTCAGCAGCGGCTCACTGCTTCTGACAGGTTTCCTCCGCGGCATTGAAAGACGGGAAAAAATAGTGAATTCTTTAGAATGACAACACCGTTAGCAGCAGGGAGAAAAACTGATTTCAGTATTATATGCACAAATACCTCCTTAAGAAATAATCAGGCTCCATTACTAGTTACTTGGGCGGACGGTGGCTGAGTGGATCCCGGGTTTGAATCCCGGTCGTAACAGGGTCTTTCTGAGTGGAGTTTGCATGTTCTTCCCGTGTCTGAGTAGGTTTCCTCCAGGTGCTCCGGTTTCCCCGTCCACTAAAAACATGTACAATAGGTATGTGTCAACCTCGCTACCATCTCTGTGTGGAGTAAGAGACAAAGGGCCACAATTGTAAAGCGCTTTGTGACTCTGGTCTGTGAAAGACGCTATATACAATAAAGATTACCTGGATTACTTTGATTACTTAACTTTAGAGTTGTTGACAAATGCAAATAGATGACTATAATTTTTAATGATGTATTTTGTTGTGCTTAATTAAGACCTATTTAGGTGTAATCATCATAAAGCCACTCATAAGGAAATGATAAAGTAGTATAATTTAGTCTTTCAAAAGGCAAACCTATCTTCAAACATGGATTTACTTGTTAGCCTTGTTCATAAAGCCACTCATACGGAAATTATAAAGTAGTATAAATTAGTCTTTCGAAGGGCAAACTCATCTACAAACATGAATTTACTTGTTAGTCTTGTTTTTTGTAGTTCGCAAAGGCCACAGCTGTCTTCCTACATCGTAAAATGTGTGTTCACTGACAAAAACCAGGGGAAGAAAATGATCCATACTCAAGCGATTATCTCCCGAGGGCTTGTCATTTCCTGTCCACGAATTGCATTGAACGAATCGTAAACATAATATATCTTGATGCATTGTTTTGCCAGGGCACAAATTTTGCACGGCTTTTGTAAACAAATCAAACTAATGGGCGTTTTGGCACTCGGGGGGGGGGGAAGCCGAGGAAAACCGAATCACGCAATTATAATTTTTTATGTAGAAGTCGTAGATCACAGCTGGAGTCAGTTTGTGGTCCAGTCTGTACCGCAGCTAACGACCCACCGGCCTCGTAGGCATCGTGTGCCTTTGTTTTTTTTTTTTTTTACGGCAAACGGATCGAACATAAAGTTTATCTCATGCACAAGTGGAGGAGGGGAGGAGGATGAAGAGGAAAAGCCCGCAGACACAAGTTCACTCCTGGGACACGCCGCGGTCCCTCTCCGACACTGACACGCAAAACTGTTCGCTCCCTGGCAAACATTCAACAAATCCATTTCCTCGGCCCCCGGATCCGTCATCAGGGATTCCTATGTAGGATGAACGCCAAGCTGAATGAATATTGATCAAGACATCTGCAAGGAGATAATTAAATGTTAAGTAATGCAGAGAAAACCTTTTTACAGATGCAGGCCAAACGCGTGTAAGACGGAGTGGCCGTTGGTTAATTAATCACGACTGTTAGCGACCGATTCTTAATAACATAGAAGCTTTGAAATATTGATAACATTAAGTGAATCTATCATTTTGATTTATTGTTTTGGAAAGACATTCTCATAACTCTCTCCTAACTTAGCCTAGTGACGTGCTTTGCTTGTCTCCACTTTACACACACACACACCAGAACAGTTGCGTGGGCTGTGTTTCCCAACCAGGGGTATGTGGGCCCCGAGGGGTATGCAGGGGTATTCCAGAGGGGACTTGAAATAATTTTAATAACTTGTAAACATTGATGGTACGAGGCGATATGGGATACTATGACATGTTTTATAAATCCCCTTAAAGATTCTCTTATTAGCATGTATTCTATTCTAAACATTGAACAAAGAACACTATAATTATGACTATAATAATAATGATAGAGACTTTATTGATCCCTGTAGGAGAAATTCAGGCGTCCAGCAGAAGTATAATTCATCCATACAAACGAAACAAATGAATACATGTTTCTAAAAGTAGCTAACAAGAATAAAATGCTAACTTTGCTAACATTAATGCACAGCACTTTAGGTCACAGCAGCAGAGGTGGAGTAGCTGCTTGGTTTGTACCATTTATTTAAAAAAATGAGCATTCCTCCAGTGGATTTCCGCTTGGTTCAGACAGTGAATCCTCTCTGCTCTGGTCTGGATCAGTGTAAAACCATGAACTTTGTACTGCAGTAACATTTACAGGTAGAAAAAAGCAAGAAAAATAACTAATTGTAAAGCACAAAACAACAACTGTTTCAGCTACTAGCCGTTTCCAGTGCATTAAAAAGTATTTATGGTAATTATAATACTAATAATATGAATATAATAATGATAATAATACGAAATTCTCAAAAACAGTGGGGTACTTGTGCACTGTCTACACTAGAACCACTGGTGTAGTCACCACTGAACATGTCCAGCCTGCTACAGTCTGCCCAATGTCTATTATCATAAGGTTGAGCTTGAAGATTATTACGATTTTATTCCACTGAGTAGTGCAATAGAAATGCTTCACACTACTGGCCCAGTTGTCAACATTCATCGAGAGAATATTTTCTCAAGTTTCTGCCCGGGCTTCCTCACCACATCTTAAACCAATCAACTCTCCTACAGCTGCAGGGAAAATGCAATTTCACCGTGAGTCACACACAGTAAAGGGGATTATGCGATCGGCATTGAAACAAACTGGGAATTCCTAAAACAATTGTGGGCAAAACAAAGAGGAGGAGGCAACTCGAGGCAGAGAAGTAAACAAGCCGCTAAATAGGCCAAATCCAACTGAACCAGAGCTATAGATAGAACAGATGCAGCAGATCTCTGAAGCAAATGACAATATTATTTACAGTCATTTTAGCAGCCAGTGCATTGAGTGGGCCACTATCGATTCTCATCACGCGGTCACCATGAAACCTGCAAACAAACTGCATCTCCAATAGACTTCAAAATAAAAGAGACGACTGATACTGGTTTTTGTTTTGGATTGGTTTTCTTATATCCTTTATAGCGTTCCTCGAGCTTTAACACATGTTTCTATTGTGTCTTTTATTCTTGAATGTTTTGCATCTGTGTAGCACAAAGGGACAACAGATACCACTTTTATTTTTGGTTTAGGGTTTGGTTTTATAGTCTATGTATAGCAGAGTATGTTGTAGCAGCATTTTGCTTTGGTGGATGGTGGGATTTGTAATATCAATATTATTATATTATTTTACCACCTAACAGTAATAAAGGAACTGGCATCAGTAGCAGCAGGATGAATGTGTGCAGCAGTTGAATTAATGATACTATGACACTAGTGGTTATGATGCACAAGTAGAAGTACTTGGACATTGTAGTAGTATGAACAAATATAATTATTGACCTTTATTTAACTAGGAAAGCCCCACTGAGATTTCCAAATCTCCTTTTTTGCTTTGGGAGTTGTTTGGGAAAACCAGAGAAACCGGAAACTCAGAAAGGCCCCATGCTGCACAGTCAACCCCAGAGCACCTAACACTAAACTTAAAGTGTACATTTTCCAGTCCACCTCTGGAACTCACTCGTTATTGATGCATGTGATGTAGTAGTGCTCATAGTAGGAAGTACAAAGACATTAGCAGTACAGACAGTCCGTGGCCTGTGCTAGATTGTCTGCTTCCTGCCTTTGCACTGGTCTGACCCTGCTGTAGTGTGTGTGTTTGTGTGTCTGTGTGTATGCCTGCGTGCACGTGCGTGTTTGTGTGCGTGTGTATAAGTGTGTGTACTCCATGGCCGCGCTGCCCTGCACTGCCAGAGGCTCTCCCGTCTCTGGCCTTTCTCTCCTTAGTCACCATTTGGCACGTTTTCGGTCGGCTTGGCACAGAGTTCAGCGCTACAAGACCGGTAGATATAATCAAGAATCTCAATCTTGCAATCATAAAATAAGGCACATAGGAATTCAGCTGCTTCTCCTACACTCCAGCCAATGTTTACCAATGTTTACAATAAAACAGAAAACATCTGAAACTGCTCCAGAATGCAGGCAACAGTGAAAGTGATTTGAAGTATAAGTGAGAAAACTCATGAAAACAAGTCTGCAGGTCAATCCCTGATGTCTCAGATTCAACATAGAGCGTTTTAGGAGAGAAACGACTTTGACTTTTCTGTTGCCTGTTCCTGATGCATGATTTTTATTAGCTGAGAGTCTTGTAACATTTCAGTCTCCCTATTGTCATGCAACTTGGAGCTTAAAACTGTATTCCCACTGAACGAGAAGCGGTGGTGCATGCAAAACAGTTGATATTTAAAACAATGTAATATGATACTCTAATCAAAGTGCGACTGTTAAGAACTAGGGTTGCACCAAACACTTTGCAAGCACACGTCGCATTCTGGCTCGAAGCGTTGCGTCAATAACATGATGATGGTAATACGGGCTGGACGTGAGGCGATGTAAAGATAATTTTATCTTTGTAGCGAGTTAATGGTGGTGGGTGGTGAGGGAGCGTTCAGATCTTCAGGTAAGTGTTCATGAGGTGGAGACAGGGTGGAGCTGGGAACCACACCGTTAGAATGAGTCACTTTGGTTTGACAAGTCCCTATCTGAAGAACAGGCCACAGCAAAGTCCTTACATGGTGCAAGCTTTAGCAAGATGTGGGCAGGGAGGTTTATGTTGTTACATAAAGGAGGCCCCTACTGTCTCCTGAGAGGGTCTGAGGGGTCCTTCTTGTCACCATGGTGATCCTGTTGTAACGCTGCACATTGAAATTGTCTACCTTGCATTTTAATAGTTTAATAGATTGTGTGGCTTTAAAGCTGGGGTATCTAAAATTACAACCATATAATAAAATCCATCCAACTTCTTCCTCACTCATTACTTTTCACATTAATGTATTTCTGTCATATCCTTAGATCAGATTTTTTTTAGACATATAAGTGGAACAGAGCGAACCACCCTCACTCCAGTCATGATCTCATTAAACAATTAAAGATTGCATCCCAGTGAAATTGGTGTATAATTTAATAAAAGCTTCCATCTAAATGCCTTTTTACGCGTAAACAGGCAATTAGATGCCTCTCCAATTGCATGTCACAATGCATTTGTTACCACATTTAGCATGTTCTCAACTTTCATCAGTAGAGCAGAGATAATTCATTTAGAGCTGCTGTCCATTTAACGTACATTGGAAACCCATGAGTTTGTTGGTCTAACACGCCCCCTGGTGGCTATTAGAAGAAAATTGGCCGTGTTTAGTAGAAGTCACAGCTGCTTCCAGTTCCTCTGAACCTGCTTTGGTTTTATTTGCACTCATTTGTTTGAACGATTCTAGAAATCCTGGCTCTACTTCTGTGAACTGACAGTGATATTTGAGTGAATGGTTTTGTTAACACAAAGAGAAACATTTCAAATGCATCAACAAGAAAGTTTTAATCTTATTTGATTTCAGTTTACAAACTTGGATGTTTGAAAAGTACAATGGATCATACAGTCTATTATCACATGTGCATAAAAATAAAAACACATTTCTTTTCTTTTTTTAATTCACATTTTTCAAACATAAAACCACAGCACTAGGGATGTAAAAAAGATCACAGATTCATATCAATTATACAGCTATGGTTTATAGAATAGACACATGATTGACAGCATGAAATAAGGTTTTTCAGTGCAGAATTATATATTGCCATCAATAATTGGGCTGTACGACTTATCCAGCCGTGATTTTCCAGATCACTTTTGCGAATTGAAGTTTCTGTTATTAAGCTAGGATAATGTTCAAAGTGTCCTGCAGGATTCAAATATGAGGAAACCTTAACATTAACATTACTAAACTTTGACATTAATGATGTGCAACAAGATTCTGTATATAATGGAAATGTCGAAATAATTGTAGTCTTGCGTCCCTCAAAATGTCCCGTTTTAAAGTATAGTGTGTATTTTGTGTGCTGACCTGGGGACATAAGGTGACCCGGAGACAATCCAATAACCCAATCATTCGCCTGCACATATTTTTATACATTCAGCTGCTTTCCCAAATCAATATCGAGCGTGTAATCCATGCTGTTGTGTTTGTGGTTTGCAGTTCTGGCAGTTCGGCGAGTGGCTGGACGTGGTGATTGACGACCGGCTGCCTGTTAAAGACGGGAAGCTGCTGTTCGTGCACTCGGCCGAAGGCACCGAGTTCTGGAGCGCTCTGCTGGAGAAGGCCTACGCAAAGTGAGCCTCGACCTCTTTCACAGTCTCTCTCTCCTTCTGCAGTCGCACTCACGAACGCTAACTCATCCATGTGACCCTTGACCTTCATGACCCTCACTTCACCGTCACTTTACCGTCACTTTACCGTCACTACTGTCACTTTACTGCACTGCTAAACGTCTATTGAGTATACTCGCACTTGTATACAGTAGTGATTTCAAGATTTTTAATTTTTAGGGCATGCCTTATTCTATTTTTACTTGAATACATTTTTTGCACCGAGAGCTTCAGTAATTTCCTAGTTAACAGTAATAATAATAATGATGCATCGATTTTATATAGCGCTTTTTTGGACACTCAAAGACGCTTGAACATGTATTAATTTGCTCCATACACTGTGGTGATAAACTACTATTGTAGTCACAGCTGCCCTGGGGCACGCTGACAGAAGCGAGGCAACCAGTATGATCCATCGGTGCCTCCGACCACCACCATCACACACACACCAGACTCTATCTAGGCATCAGGTGTTCCCAGAGGATAAGTGTCTTGCCAAGGACACAACAACAGCAGTTGGAGTCGGTGGAGAAAGTCTTCTGGTGGGCTCGACCCTACGACCTTCAGGCTCAAAGGCCAATGCTCCACCAACTAAGCTACTGTCGCCACATAAGTTGAGGCGACCCGTTTAAGGGCCAACCCGAACAGATTTCAAGCATACTTTCTGTTCTTTAAGTCTTTAGAGAAATGGCATAATCCACCACCTACACTGCACATGAGTGATCCCTCAAAGGATGAAATACTGGGAGTTGGATCTCACAGCTTTGAACTATGTCCCCAATCCCAAGCTTTGAGGAAAAAGAGCAAAAAAGTCATATGTAAGTGAAGAGTACAGACGAAACACTGGGCAGAACAGATCAGAAGAGAATTCTCAAGTTTGTCATCAATCATTCACAGATTCATAAAAGGAACAGGAAAACTAAACTCTGCTTTGAAGCGGTGGATGATACTGCGTGTTATTTTAGATATATTCTTGTCGTTTCTAAAGGCGTCCCGGATTGTGTATTCTTTATACTATTATCTTGAAGTGTTTATGCGTCGCTGTTTAAATGACACTTTGGTATTCGTAAATGTTGAAAGTACAGTATAGGAGTTGAAATTTTGACAGATACAGTAAATGTGAAATGTATATCTGTCTGTGCTCTGTCTGTTGCCGGGCAGACTTTGGTCTTATATGGGATTGTGTCTGGAGGACCGGGTTCAATGGACTTTTTTTTTCTGGCCAAATGTAAACATCATAAATACAGGCCTTGTCTTAAACATTAGGGCTGTCATGGCAACAAAATGTCAACAAACTCTGTGAACTCGTTTGGTCAGAACACGTATGAAGTGCATAATTGATACATACGATGAATACTATTGAATCTTTAATAATCTATAATCAAAGAAAAGTACTACTGTTACCCATAAGGCCTTTGTGAAACTTTCCATTCTGAAAAATTCAAGACTCTTACATTTCCTACTAATACATCTACAGGTACTTGTACTCTATTACAATTACTTTTGCTTATGATACTACCAGATTAATTTATAGAGAAATACAAATACATATATGCAGTGTGGACTTTTGCAAATGTATTCCAATGTGGTTTTACTGCTAATGGCAGATAAAATGAATCTGAATCTGAAAATCGCTTTCAATTAGTGCTACATTAATCTATCTAAATATATTTTTTTTGTCATAATGGCATTGATGTCACACAGCTGTGCAATAGTCTTTTGTAATAAACTTTGCCATTTGCTGCTAGAGCGAGCCCACAGACTGTTGGTAAAAGAACAAAACGCATTGTGGGAGCAGCTATGAGTCAAATATGCATCTCAATATATCATTATTATTACAGTCCTTGACACCAGCGCTGCATATTGTACTTCTTTTCCAAAATTATGCTCTATTTCCCATTACTTGAGACCTAAACGTATCGGCAATCTTGAAAGTATATGATTAGTTAGGGCTAGATGTCTTTATAGCTAGTACAATATCTAAATACAGGGACTGACTGATTATGAATTGATTATTAGAATGTTGAGTTCCTTCTTATCTGCAAAGCATCGTGGTTCTAGTCAATTCAATTCAATTCAATTCCAATAACTTTATTCATCCGTGACGAACTTCATTTACAGACGGAGCACCAGTGGGGGAACCACAAAAACACAGAAACACACGATCTAAGTATAAATACAGTAAAAGAGCAGAAATGCAATATAAAACACATATAACAGGTTTTCAGATCACTTGTTTAAAAGGCAAATTGAGGTTGGGAGGAAGCTGGATGTGGACCTTTTTGTTTTGAATGGGAGGGACCTGAACCTACGCCCTGACGGGAGCAGTCTGTAGTGTGAGTGCAGAGTGAGAGATCTGTCTGTGGTGATCTGTGGAGCCTTTCCTTAAAACTTTGTTATTGTAAATGGCTGTGAGTGAGTTTTGCTGCTTTCCAATGATTCTTCTGCTCATTTGAATGATCTTATTGAGTGAATTCCAATGTATGAGACTGACTGAACCAAACCAAGCTGTAATGTTGAAAGTGAGAATTGATTCAATGAAGCATTTGTAGAAAATAGAGAATGGATTTGCGAACCTGAAGTTTACAAAGTGTACGGAGAAAGAATGGACGCTGTTGACATTTAGAGAAGATTAGTTCAGTATTGTCCTGGAAAGTGACTTCATGGTCTATAATGGTGCCAAGATTTTTGTATGAATTAACCTTTTCTATGGGGTCATTGTTGACAGTGAGTGGTGTGTGCCAACAGTAAAAAGGTAAACGTCTTGCTGAATGTGTTCCTTGTTGGTCTCAGGTTGAACGGCTGCTACGAGGCCCTGTCGGGGGGCAGTACCTGCGAGGGCTTTGAGGACTTCACCGGAGGCGTCACGGAGATGTACGAGCTTTCCAAACCTCCCTCCGACCTCTACAGCATCATCAGCCGGGCGGTGGAGAGAGGCTCCCTGCTGGGCTGCTCCATCGACGTCAGTAACAGCTACATTTGATAAACACAGCAGACGGACATTAGCTCAGTTGTACTCACACGTTTCAAGATTTTCTCTTCTAGTCCCTGTGGTTACACTTTTCCAGCCGACCTGTAGCTGTAAATAATGTTTACACAAGAGCACGCCTTACATCTGTTATGTCCCAATACTAAGGGCAATTAAAAAATATTCTAAAAATATCCTTAAAAAAAGATAAATTAGGCTGGAATAACTCCTAATCTAACAATATCTGTAGAAATAGAATACTTCATTATTTTACTATATGTCTTCAAAAATAGTTATATTTAAAGTGTTTTAGTTGTTGTTTTTTTACTTCATCTTAACCCTTTAATGTTCACTCCTTGAAGAAAGCTAAGTAATGTATTCATTTTTTGATTTTTGTGGGGGTTTTTGAACCCCTAGTTTTTTTTTTAAATTTAATATAAGCCTTTGACCAAATGGTGGCAATGCAGATGGATGGTAGACGTGTCTAAAACCACAAATGCTTCAAGTAGATATTGTGACTTAAAACTGGATCTACCAAAAAAACAGGGATAAAATGAAATTCATTCAATATGTTAGGAGTTTAGGCCTGTCCATAGCACACACACAAAACAACCCCAAAGCTGCCAACCCACAAAGTTTGGACTCCAGGATTTTTCACTAACCAAATCTAATGTACATAAATTCCAGCTCTTACGCCGATCACCAGTAGGGGGCAGTGTCCTATCAGAATTCCCCCTGTACAGAGGCGACTCCAGTTGGCATGATGTTGATGGGTCACTGCAACTGAACAAGGCGGTTCTTGTTGCCAAAAATTCTGCAGAGAGACTGCGCTGCTCCAGCTGTGGAGAAATGTAGAAAATGCAGAGATTATCAGGAGCACGGCGTGACTAAATGCACCATGGGAAGAGCAGCATAACACTTGCATTTGAATTGATGAAATGAAATGAACCACAGCATGTTCGAGAAATCTATTCAGGTTGGAGAGCTGGTGCCGATACAACTTTATGGGAAAGAAAATATCATTTTTTTTCCGAAACCTGACATTATTGTCTTGGATGCCAATCACATGCTATGTTTTTTTATTTATTTTTTATAACTTTGTCTATTGAAAATGTTTAACAATAAAACCCGACATACAGTACAATCAACCAAAAAAACACACACTAAAAATGTAATAAAAAAGGAAGGTTTAGTATTTCTAGGAAGTACATAAATTGAAATCCAATTAGTTATCTTCCAATTTGAAAGGGACGTTTTAAGGGTCAATATGTGACTAAAATGGACCCCAAACATTGTTAAAGGTCCCAAAGGAGCCATTAAGAGATGACCTCAGCTTCTCCAGCTTAAAGTTGTAGAGCACGAACCCAGCGGACATGTGAAGGTGGATGGGGAAGCTTCCAATTTAGTAGAATCAACCTGCGAGCTAATAATGTTGTAAACGCTAAAGCACGATTAAGAGGTTTGAACATGCTGTGTTTTTTACTATTATCATCACTTCAAGACACTGTTATAAGACAATAAATTAGCTTGCTTCTTAACAAGGTCCTGAGTCCGAGTTCTAGTCTGAACAGGGTCTTACTGAGGTGGAGTTTGCAAGTTCTCCCCGTGTCTGGTTAGGTTTCCTCTGGTTGCTATGGTATCTTGTACCACTAAAAACATTTACAATATGTACAAATATCATCCAGCTCTGGTCCTGACCAAGCCGAGCGTCATCATATAGCAGCAGTGCATGATGGGTCAAATGCAGAGGACACGTTTACCGACAGGGACAATGACATACCATAAACTTCTCAATTTTAAACCTACTGAAGAAGATGACATAGTCTGGGATCGCGTCTTAAATTCAGACAGAAGACATGTTTTATTGTCGATGGTAGAGACAGCACGAACAACTCAAACAACAGAATGCAAGTGTATTATACAGAGCGGAGGCATGGAGACCTCCAATCAGCAGCTGCCACGGTGCCATGTAGCTTGGCCTTCAGATAGACAAAACAAGGGAAAAGTACTGGCTTCTGCACATTGATAGATTGATGAGTTTAACTTTAACAAAAGTTGCTTAAAAGTGTTATGAAATCTCACATTCCCCCCTCTGGTCACACATTCACGTGTGACCATCAGGATCGATAAACAGCAACATAACATCATAACTCAATACTTCAAAAACTCATAAACTCGGTACTTCACTCGGTACTTCAAAAAACTCAGAACTCGGAATACTTCAAAAACTCAGAAAACTCATAAAACATTTTCAGATCTTTCATAAAACTTGTCAACAATCTTCAGTAAAATACCAAACTTCATCAGTCGATGGTGGTTCCAGATATTGCTTTGAAAACAGTCTCTCCCACTTCTCCTGTTGGTTTCTTCAGGCTGCATTTGTGTCGAGCCATGAATTCTTCTGTGACGTGTCTTTCAATCACACGTTTCAGCTTCAGTGTCCAGATTCAGCAATCCAATTCAGTCCAGATTATGTCCAAATTCAGAAATCCAGATTGTTCCAAATCAGCCATTCCCAAACTCAGTAACACTGAGGCCCCCTTAAAAATCTGACGGGTCTGCGTGGCCCCCCAAAATAATAACCAAGAAGACAACATTAAGAATAGGCTCTTCTGGTTATTTTATTTTGGGGAAATAGCCTCTGCTACAAACATTGTAATACAAAATTATTACAGTGGATTATTCAAGTCAAATAATGAACACAAATATTTCAATATTACAAACAAAAGATTATAAATTTAACATTAATTTTTTTTTTTTTTTTTTATGACCTCCCGCGGCCCCCCTGCAGTACCCTCGCGGCCCACCAGGGGGCCGCGGACCCCACTTTGGGAGACACTGTTCCAAATCATGTCCATGCAAGAGAGGACGCTGGTATTGTCCATGTCTCAGCAGCTCACAGCCTGAGTGGAATCAGGGGCTGTGCAGATTGTTCATGTGCTGGTCCAGATGCATTCTCTTGAGGTTTCTCAGTTTTGGCTTGAAAAAAAAAAAAACACTTTTTGTGTAAAAAAAAAGTAGTCTTCTGTTCTCTAGATGTTACAGACAATGCCCGCATCCTCCACCACCTGAAGAAGATGACATAGTCTGGGATCGCGTCTTAAATTCAGACAGAAGACATGTTTTATTGTCGATGGTAGAGACAGCACGAACAACTCAAACAATAGAAGTGTATTATACAGAGCGGAGGCATGGAGACCTCCAATCAGCAGCTGCCACGGTGCCATGTAGCTTGGCCTTCAGATAGACAAAACAAGGGAAAAGTACTGGCTTCTGCACATTGATAGATTGATGAGTTTAACTTTAACAAAAGTTGCTTAAAAGTGTTATGAAATCTCACACTACTTTGTGACAGTTTTTGTTTCTTGTTTTACATTTTTTTTGCAGATCACCAGCTCCAGAGACATGGAGGCTGTGACGTTTAAGAAGCTGGTCAAGGGGCACGCTTACTCTGTGACCGGAGTGGATGAGGTGAGACATACTTTTATATGTTTTATTTACTAAGTGCCTCCTACAGATTTTGTCATAATAAATCTTTACTTGTATATTACCCAATTTAATTTCAAGTTGTATCCACGTTCATGCCAAACCGAACGTTCAGACACATTATAATGGGTGTGAAATGAGCTGCAAATCACTTTTATTACTCACCGAGTTCATTATTAAAATACCAATTAAAATAAACACATATTTCCTGTTTTTGTTATTGAATATTTTTATCTGGGCTTCTGTCAAATAAATCAAAATTGGTGATGTCTTAACAAATGTACCCATGTTATTATTAAACAGAATAGTGATTTTGACCTGAATCAATGCAAATCTATTGTCCATCACTGCTTTTTCCATTCAATAACCATTTAAAGCTGGGGTACCTGACTTTCAAACCATAAACAATACATGTAATCAAGTTCATTTAACTAGTTCCTCACTCTCAAAATAGTTTTTAGTCCTTTCACTGGTTTTCACATGCATGCATATTTGTCTTCACGTCTTTAGATCAGCTTTTAGACAGAAAAGAGAAAGAAGAGAAGACAGCCCTCACTCAACCAATCAGCTCTCAGCACAAAAGAGTCAAATGGCGACGCACAAGTATGAAGAAGTGACATGGTTTTCAAATAAGACACCGCATGTTGGAGTCTGTTTTGTTTCGACAATATACGTATATATTAAAGAAACCCCACCTTCAAAACCACTGCCAAGGTATTTTGTCCAAATCAATACCATTTGGCTAAAAACAATTAATCTGACCGCGTCAATGTATCTAAATGTACAATAAAAAGCTAAATTGATGATTTTTTTCTGTGCTTGTTTAAAATTTAAGTTCTTAGATTTGAGTCTAACCTGTTTTCAGAGCTGCATGTACATTTCCTAAAGTCCAAGAAAAAACTCCCTTAAAGACCTTATGCCGGGTTTTTTTTTTTTTAAATTGTGGATATCAAAATTGCATGACAATGTCAATCTGAAAGAGATTCTGGCAAAAAAAAATCCTATATTTTATAAAAAGAACGTGTTTTTCATGAATTTCAGTTGTCTATGCTCTAACCTGTGTGTGACGTCATAGCGGGTAACACCCATGCATTGAAAACCATGGATCTATGCCACAGGACTGCCTTTTCTCTCTTCTCTCCACTGATGCCCAACACAATACTGCACTCTACAGGTGACAATTGCTCACTACACATAAATTGCCATTTTTAGAGTGAAAAAGTGTCTGATGTGGGATTTGAACCCCAGTATCTGGATTGGCAGTGCATCGACACAACCACTGGACTATCTCAGTGTCAACGAAGTGATACAATCTAGTACTAATATCATACTCGCTGTACACGGCCTTGTCATCTTGAATATCCGCGAAGAAAGAACGAATACCAAATTGTAAACAACTTACAGCGTTGAAACGTACCCACTCTGACGTCACCAAGGGCTGTGAAATTTTTTCGTTTCTAAGGGCGTTGCTATGGGGTTTTTTCAATTTGGGGGGATCAGACAAAAAAAAAACTGATTTTGAAACCTTTAGTAGTTCTCTTCTAATATAAAATGGTATTAAAACTGTATTTCTAAATAAATCAAACCCGGCATAAGGTCTTTAAGTGGATGAATATAATGGCTATACTGACAATCAATCATTTATTTTTATAGCACAAGGTGTGTACAAGGCAATTCAAAATTCTAATCAAGAGCAATTAAAACACAGGTCAAAATGCATTAAAAAGTCAACGAAATATACAATACTCTCATTCAAATGTGGGTTTAAAACAGGAGGTAAAAGCAATAAATGTGAATAGCTTCTTCCCTCCGGCGGTTATAAAACTAGTTTCTCAATCATGCTTTTAAGAGGTTTATATGTGCCTCACTGTGTCTTACCTCGCTATTTTATTCATCATGTTTTTGTGTTTGTGTGTGTGTGTTCCTTGTGGTGTTGGAATTCCAATGTCCTGTTTGAATTCTAATGTAGTGTATTCTGCAAGAGGCCATATATTGATTCTGATTCTATATAGTACAGAATAGAATCGGTTGAATGCGCACCTGGAGCTGTTTTTAGATCCATCCATGCTAATATCAGGAACTTTGTAACAGGCAAAACCAAGCTAAGGCCCACTGTGTAACTGAATGTGGCCTTCTGCCTCGCAAAGACAAAGTACCCATTGAGGTCCTGGTTTATTGCTTCTTTAGCGCAGAAATCCTTCATAATCTTTATTCTTTTAAGTACCCGCTAATCCGCTACTTAAAAGAATAAAGATTATTTATTTATGTATTTATGAATTTAGATTTGTATTTTATTTTTCAATTAATTACTCATTATGTTTAGATGTCTTGAACCTTTTTAATGTATTCTTTTTATTTTATTATTCATTAATTCAGTTATTTTTTTTAATTATTATTCATTTATTAATTCATTTTTTTTTTTTTTTTTTTTTTTTTTTGAGCTTCTCTGCCCATCAAAAGGGAAAAGGGGATGTGGGGAACAAAAAGTAAAGTGTGATGCATGCCAGCCAGTGCAAAAATGTAAATACAATGTAAGAATTAAATCAAAAAGGATCACACACACACACAAAAAAGTAGCAGCTAATGTGAGTGTCCGCTGTGACTCTCCAGGTGGTGTACAGAGGAAACATGACCAAACTGGTGCGAATCAGAAACCCATGGGGAGAAGTGGAGTGGACCGGAGCCTGGAGCGACAAGTGAGTCCCCGGAATAAACCGTTAAAAATGATGGCGTTTGCTAAAATACCGCCCTCGTATTCCAGTAGTGTAGGTTCCTAGAGGCAGACGGCAGAATGTCTGGGTTAGATTAGAAGAGGTTATGTAAGTGTTATGTCACCGCCACACTTTGAAGCCGTCATAAAAACCTCTCTGTCATTTCTCAGCAAAGGACAATAAAAAATAAACCAATGGATCACTAACGATGCAGCTGATTATGTAGTTATTGTGTCCTGGTTTAGTTTAAGTTAGTCCTGCCCTTACTATGGAAGATCGCAAGGACTTTTTAGCGACCCCATTTCAGTAACACAGCGTAAAGGGGCAGAGTGCAGCTCCATCTGGCAGGACCGAAAACAGAAGCCACCGGTTTATTCTTGTATACATTTTTTCTGTATGGACGACATGTATTTTGTATTGATATTTAACATTTAGAAAGTATGTAATAATGAGCCACAAATAGCAGAATTAATACTTTTTCAAATATCTTGATTTGTAGATCAAAAACTCACTTTCTCTTTGTTCAGTTCGAGAGAGTGGGACAACGTGGACCGCTCTGTCAGAGGCCGGCTGCAAAACCGCAGTGAAGATGGAGAATTTTGGTGAGGTTTTTTTTTATTTTGTATTATTATTTTAAGTATTTTCCAGGCACTTTTTTTTAATTGATCACCGCTTTACATTTTCTCACCTCGTAAACCACAACATGGATCCAACACTTATAATTGAAACAGAAAGAGGAGATATGTGAAAACTGAACGATCTGAACAGAATCTTAAATGTCTTTTTGCACCAACCACCCATCTCCAATCACACTCTTACTCGTACAGATATTGGTTTAAACTGGTCGAAAAGGAATCGCAAAATCCCCTCACTATTGTAGAATGCTAGTAAGTAAGTAATGTTTATTTATATAGCGCATTTTATAGACCAAGGTCACCCAAAGCGCTTTACAATGTTCAGAGTTCAGATATTGCTCCAATCATTTCACACACGGTGATGACGGAAGCGAGTCGCCGAACACACTGGAACATCAGCCCCCAACCAACACCAACCATTCACTCTCTCATTTACATTCAGACCTATTGTGCATGTTTTTAGTGGTAGGGGAAACCGCAGCACCCGGAGGAAACCTAAGCAGACACGGGGAGAACATGCAAACTCCACTCAGAAATCCCCTGTTCCGACCGGGATTCGAACCCATTTATATTATTCCATTGTTCTAGATTATAATTGTAGTCTACAATCAACAATAATCTACCTATGAGTCTAGTACTAGGAGGACCCGTGTGGTGAATCATAAAATTGGGTTTATTTTAAAGCTGGGGTTCTTAACTTTTTTCCCTCATCAATAACAAATGTTGTTTGTCCCAAAAGAAAGAGTCTTGGGTAGAAGTCAAATCAATTTCTGACTCAAAATGCTGGTCTAAAGCTGTGACTGAAGCCAAAACTAGTGCTAAACCCAAACTGTTTTCTCCTCTCACTTTAAAGAACACACGTGATAATGACTTTCCCGTTTGCTTCAGGATGTCTTTCAGCGACTTCTTGCGCGAGTTTAGCCGCCTGGAGATCTGCAACCTGACGGCAGACGCTCTTCAGAACAGTCAGCTCAAAAAGTGGAGCTCCAACTTGTTCCAGGGCGAGTGGAGGAGGGGCAGCACGGCCGGGGGCTGCCGGAACTTCCCCGGTATGTGGACTTCAGACCTGGTTCCGTTGTGGAATAATAGTCCTGATCTGGTGCTGATTAAGACCCGGTTAAAGGCGCAGTACTAAACTTAAAAAAAGAAAAATAAAAGTTCTGACAGAAAGGGTCTTGCAGGAACATTGTATGACATAAGATAAGACACACTTTATTATTAGAAAACATGTTATCACACCAAAGTAAATGGCTGGTAATTGTGCAAATGTGGTCATAGCGCCTACATGTGTGTCTTGTGTAATGTGTGTAGCCGTGAAACAAAATGCATAGAAACATACTCCAAATCAAACGTATTTCATTGTGTGTACGTAAAAATATAAGCAAAGAACTTAACACTAAAGGTAGTTTGGAGTTGATGACATTTCCGTATACACTCATAGAAAAAGGGAGAAAAAAACATGTTATATTTTGTATTCTTGTAAGAAAGAGCCTTGGGAGTCACTATTTGAGGCTTTGGGCTGAGAGATGATTGGCTGAGTTTTTCACCTTTTTTATCTGGAAATAATAATATAAAGTTGTGACAAAGGGCAAAAATACACAATGTGAAAATTAGTGACCAGGCTGTTTTGTGTTGTTTGAAAGTTAGGTACCCCAGCTTTAAATTTGACTTCTTCCTTCTTTTAGTGCTGGCTGGGATCAGGTCGTCTGGTTTGTCCTTGTTCGGCGCTGGCTCAGTTTGCGTTCGTCCAGGATCGCCCTGGTTTTAGTCAGTTTTTAGTCTCAAGTTTACAATAAAAGTTGGCTCTTGACGTAACTTTATATGACCAGAAATATTAAGGCACTTTTACTTTCTACTTTATGCAAATGTTTTGAAATGCCAAGCGAGAAAGAGAGAAGTGGCTTTTTCATTGACTTACTTAATAACTTATTGACTTAATGTAAACCACAACTTCTATTTAAACAGTGAGCCATAAAACAATGACCTTTTTTAAGATAAAGCCGTCATCGTGACCTGAAGTGCAGAGTGACCAGGACCTGCTGCTTTTTGCACTGAAAACACAAAAAAGGCACGGTTTCTTGTTTGTCTCGACAACAGCAACTGGATAAAACGGTTAAGATGTGTTGTGCAGCGTGTTATACAGAGATGCAAAACACAGGTCCAGGCTGCAGCTAAATCTGAGCAAAAGTACAAGTCAATCTGCTTAATTCTTTAATGATCAATTCTTGAAGAAATCAATGTACATTTGTCTTTTTAGATTTTGGAGATGAATATGTAGGAGCACTAATAACCCCTAGTTCTGGTTTATAGGCCTTTACCAAATGGTTGAGATGCAGTTTGATGGTAAAAGTGCTAAAAAATGCCAAAAAATGCCAAAAACCATGTAACCAAAAAATGCCCCTGTGAGGTTGATTTCAGTTCCAAGCTTAAAGTAGAAATAGTGACTAGAAAAAGTTATCCACCAAACAGTTTAGAAAACCATTAAAGGGTTGATTCTTTGCTTTATATTGTACTCTATTTTAATCTGGAAAAATCCACACAGAAGGATTATTGAGTGACTAAATTGAAAAAAAATGTGTTACTTAGACGCATGAATGTCTTATGACGTAGAGTAGGAGAGAATGCGGGTAAAGATAATGAAAAGGAATTTGGAAGCACAAACTTGTCCCCCTTTTGGGTAGCGGTGATGAGGAGGAGGGTTGTGACATGAGTTGAAAGCTGTGAAAAGTGCTGACAAGCAGAGGCACAAGTGTGTAGCCAGATGGGGACTGGAACGAAGTAGGTTAGACGGTACCCATTAGAAAAAAATGGAGAATTCATGTCAGAGTTATTACTTAAGACACGTAGCATTTAGTTATATAGCACAGTTCATACACAAGACTCACAGTGCTTCACAAAACAAGAAAGCAACTGTTGAAATCATTGCGAGAAGAAAGCAAAACCGCGGTCATAAAGTCAGTTGTCTGCATAGCTAAACAGAACTGTTTTGATCCTGGACTTCAACATTGTCAGAGTAGAAGCCTTTCTCACATTATCTTTATATCTTTAACAGTGTCTTTAATCTCAAAGAGCTAAACATCAAACATTAGCTTAACCCAGACATGTCCAAACTCAAGCCCGAGTGCCAAATGCTGCCCTCTGTGTCATTTTGTGGCCCTCTGCCGTGCTAACCCAACATAGCCTTTGAGATCATGAACACAAGTTCACTTTGTCATCCATCCAACTTCAGCTCAGCCAATACAGACCTTGCTCTAAAGCCCAGTACGTTGTTGACTTTATTTGCAAATGACGTGGTTTTTGATTGCGTCACTTCCGTTAAAGGTGCTAATGTAGCTGTTGAGATGGTTAACATTTGTCATTCAGCCAACTTCAGATCTGTTATAGATCATCATAAACCTCAGAACAGCTCTATGCCAATCAAGACACTTTTTCACTCCGTGATGTCGGCTCTGGACTAGTCTGGTGAACCAAAGTGGCCCTCTTACTAAAAAGTTTGGACACCCTTGGCTTACCTTATCAAGTCAAGCCAATTTTTCCTTGTTTTTAGGTTCAGCCTATGTTCATAGTTTCTTTTGTTGTATTTGAGTAAATGAGGACAAAGCAAATAGACCCTAAAGGCAGATACTGTACATGTCCCTATGAAGTGATACTGCCCTGTTGGAAACCTTTCAAAAAATAATAACCCATTTATTTTTGGTTTTGCAGCAACGTTTTGGCTGAACCCGCAGTTTAAGATCCAGCTGCAGCACCCGGACAGTCCTGGGAGCCCCGAGTGCAGCTTCGTGGCCGCCCTGATGCAGAAGGACCGCAGGAAGAAGAGGAAAGAGGGCAAGGACATGGAGACGATCGGGTTCGCCGTCTACGAGGTCGCACGCTTTCACGTCTAGACTCTTTTTACTCTCTCTGGTTCCGTCTCTCACTTTTCTTTTTTTGTGTGTCTTTTTACAGATTCCACGAGAGGTACGGAATTCATACAAGATTCACTGAAATAAGTATAGTAGCAGAGGTATTATGTTTCTTTTGACTTGAAAAAGGTACATAATTTATCATTGTGTTTTGCTCTAGAATCTCAGAGGCTTAACTTATTATTTGTTGAATTGAATCATATGTTTTATTGCTTCAAAATTAGTTCATAGTATGGTTTGAGCAGGCTTTCCTCCACAGATCTTGCCTGTAATTTGGCTTGATGAGAGCGCCACTGCCGTTTCCATAGAGACAGATACGTTGGATGCCGTTCTAGGCAAAGGATAAACACCTTATTTAAGAATCTAAATCTCCAACTAAGGAAATAATGAATAAAAAACTTACCAATAAATCTGAGAAATTTACATCTGAAACATGTAAACACCAAAATCCTCATTGTTATAACAGTTGCAGCAGTTGTTTTTTGCTCAATCCATGCTTAAACTAACGCACCCCTAATTTCCAAATGAACCTTTTTCAACAATCTGGTAAACGACACAATGAGAAATATTCAGACTATTACCTCAAGCACAGAGGTTACTGCCTTTTAGAACAAAAGTATTGCCTCACAATGTCTTCACAAGTTGTATATCGGAGTTTTGTTCTTCATAATAAGAAACTCTAGATTTGTTTTAGTTTCACCATATTTTGAAACACTTGTTGTGTTACACCTTTGTGATAAATAATTAGACAATACTTGATCTGGGCGTGCTCACCCGGTTCACAGATATTATATGACAGGTGGTCTTTGAGGTTCTTAAGTACAAAGCATAGATTAAAAAGAAGAAGCAGAAAAGGCCAGAGGCTTGGTTCCTTCTTTTTTTACAGAATTCACAAAACCTTCGAAACACGTATGCGTACAAAAAAAAGTACGTCACTTTCAGAATTCCAAGTGCCTCTTGGCGTTTCTGTGACTTTTTTTTTATTTCAAACCAAGGCTTGGTGTACTATGACCATAGTTACCAGGACAGATTTCTAGCTACCCTCCACCACCGTATTAAACTAGGCTCTTTAAAGTGTTTTTTTAGTTTGTAGTTGAAGCCCCTTTTTGCTTGTGTGTAACATGTCTGTACTGACGCGTGTGTTTAGTACGTGGGTAAGTCGGGGGTGCACCTGAAGCGGGACTTCTTCCTCACCCACGCCTCCAGCGCCCGCTCCGAGCTCTTCATCAACTTGAGGGAGGTGAGCTCCAGACTCAAGCTGCCGCCGGGAGAATACATCATCGTCCCCTCCACCTTTGAGCCGCACACAGAGGCCGACTTTGTGCTCCGGGTTTTCTCTGAGAAACCGGCCGACAGCGAGTGAGTGAAGCAGCCGGTCACGTTAATTCACAATTTTTAAAGCAACTATAGTGCAAAAAAAACATGGACTCAACATGGCTCATGCTGATCTAAAACAGGATATAGAAAAAGAGCGAATTGTTATTTAAGATAAGATAAGATCGATTTTATTGATCTCACACTGGAGAAATGTACTTGTCACATTCGGCATAGATATAAATATAGTCTCAGGATATAATTATCTTTTAAAGAAAGAGTGGCAATAGCAGTGCTGGTTTTTCAGTCCTAGTGCATTAGTGACTCAAAGTGACTTTTTGTACAGTCTGACAGCGGTGGGGATAAAAGAATAAAGGAGGATCATTAGGAAAGGACTGCCCTTTCCATGCACAAAGCTCTCCCTGCTCCAGAGGGAACGCCGACAAAAACGTGTGCGAGAAACGAACTTGTAAGCTCTGTTTACAAGTCACTGTCGGTATCGCTCACACTTTCCAAGAAGATGTGCTCTTTTTCCACTTTAGATTCACAATTTAGACGTTAGTCTCTTTTACTGGAAATTATTTGAAATGGATTTCTGCAAATAGAATCCAAACTTTAGCTGTCGAGTAGAAACTTGGCGACTGAAGCATCAGTGGGAAGTCCGACCTGGGATTTCAGCGCCATTGTGTAAAAGAATCCCAATAACACTCTGGTCTTGTTTGACGAGCACGTAAAAACACCAGAATGATTGACAGTTAGGAGCACCAATAGTCTTGATGATCCATCCGGAAACAGAAAATGCTTCAATGATGTGTAAATGAATAATAATTAAAGTCCTTGTTGCCTGTAGTTTTCATAATGAAACTTTCCAAAAGACCAGGTTAAGGTTAATTGGTATCAAGGGGAGTCCTCATTATAGTTAAATAATTGAACAGTTAATCTGCTTTTCTTTTGGATATTCATAGTTTGAATTATACATAAATCTATCCATGCCCTATTTTTTCCACAGAGAAATGGACGACGACATTAAAGCAGAAATCCCCACAGACGTAAGAACCCAAACACATCTGCCACAAGAAATAACCGGTATCGGAATCACATTTGACATTACTTTGTGGATTTTACAGAATTATCTCGACGAGAGCCAGATCGACGCAGGTTTCAAGAGCTTGTTCAGGCAGCTGGCAGGACCCGTAAGTTATTTTCTGCTTTAAATGAATACGCATTGATTTTTAAAAATGCTTCAAAGTCTCTGTGATCTCCGCGTCAGGACATGGAGATCAGCGTTACAGAACTGCAGACTATTCTTAACAGAATTATCAGCAAACGTGAGTGGAATGAGCAACTTTAAAACCACGCCTTTTGCAGATCACGCCGTTTTTAATTCATGTGTTGGCGTCACTTTTGAACAGACAAAGACTTGAAAACAGACGGCTTCACGAAAGAGTCCTGTCGCAGTATGATCAACCTTATGGACGTATCCTATTCTGGCTTTTATTCTTTTTTTAAGGGAAAATGTCATGTATCAGCCATAACATTATGACCACTAATAGGAAAAGGTAGGGATACATTTGAGGCTTAGCAATTCATGTTTTTGTTTGTAACAGCACAGAATTGTATGGAAATCCTGTATTGCACAAAATGGTCACTGTAGCTTTAAAATTTAAAACTTCTTGTCGAGCACATTTTAACTATTTTAACCAGATTCTGATCATTTTTACATAATTCAGTTTCAAATTTGATATAATTATTGCTTTAAATTGCAAGAATATGATCATAAAATTGTGGAATATTTATGGTATATTTTGCCTCAATCCAATATTGATGATTTTTTTTTCCGTAAATGTTGATGAAATAGAATAAACATATAATTGGGATGAATAAAAAATGGGGAAGTTCCAGAGAATGGTCAAAACATGTGGTTAAAGAGTCATAATGTTTTGGCTGAATGCTGGGATTGTGGTATTTCTTTAACTCGCTGTTATTCAGAAAGACGGCAGTGGAAAACTGGGTCTTACAGAGTTCCACGTCCTTTGGGAGAAGATAAAACGATACTTGGTAAGGTTTTTTATTTCACTGTATTATTATTATTATTATTTTGTGGTTATGTAATAATTCATGTTTGGTGAAATATTATGATCATATATGATTCAATATCTACTTCCTCATAATAGGCTGTTAGTGCTTCCTTTATATATTCATGGCAGTAGATTCATTAATTAGCTATTGTTCATTTGGACATTATTGTATTCTTTGAGAAGTGGGAAGCTTCACACATGTGACTCTGCGAGAGGTGTGAAAAGCAGACCCCCGCACAGCTCAGCCAAACTTAGAAAAGGACAAATGTCTCGTAAACGCCAGTGTTTTCATTTACAGATGAGCCATGGGCCTTTGGCAAAAATGGTTCATGACTTGCAGACTTCAAAATATTTGGATTTTGAATATATACAAAAAAACATTCTTTACGTATGGTTATGGGTAATAACATACTTTTATCTTTCTGATACATACATTTATACACCGGGCGTCACGGTGGCTGAGTGGATAGCACTCTCACCTCTCAGCAAGAAGGTCCTGGGTTCGAATCCCGGTCGGACCAGGGCCTTTCTGAGTGGAGTATGTACAATAGGTCTGGCATGCGCCTCCTGTTTGGCGACCCCGCTCCCATCTCTGGAGTGAAAGGACAAGTGCCCAAAAATAACAATTGTAAACCGCTTTGTGACTCTGGTCTGTGAAAGGCGGTATATGAATAAAGATTACTTACTTACTTACATTTAACCAAAAAGTTAATTATGATTCCAGTTGGATTCCTGTCATGTCAATATTACTACTATTATTACTATTATTAATCTCAAAATATATTGACTTGATGATTTACATTGAATGTAATGTTTTGGAAATGCTTTATTTGTCTGTTCAAATGAAGCCATTTCCCTACTGTAGAACAAATAAAGGATTTCTTATACGACCCAGAGTGAAGTTCAATGTCATTTTTACAGTGCAGTAGTAGTAAACTATAATGAATTCCATTTGAATCGATTGTGGTGTTTTGTTCTAAAACAATGTAGTAAATGTAGGTTGTATTTGTACAACTATAACCTACATTTGCCATATATGGTCGTATTAGATAAACGGTCTGCTTGTTTTGGCTGTGTGTCAGATTGCTTTCCCTGTTTGTGTTGAAACACTGCCAATACCTTTAACCTTCTGAAAATATTGACACTTTTCTTTCTTTTCTTTCCTCATTTCAGACTATTTTCAGAGAGTTTGACTGTGACAAATCGGGCACAATGAGCTCCTACGAAATGAGGAAAGCCCTGGGATCCGCAGGTATTTGGTCTCATAAAATGTTCTCTCAGAGTGCAGAGTTCCACAGGGCTCCATTCTCGGCCCAAAATGTTCTAACCTCCAATAATTGATATATTGGGTGAATTTTCTTCTTGCCTTAATTACTGATTGATTGTTTTTTTTTTTTTAGGATTTAACTTGAACAACCAGCTCTTCCAACTCATCATCCTTCGCTACACTGAGGCAGACATGACTGTTGACTTTGATAACTTTGTGACATGTCTGGTCCGATTGGAGACCATGTACAGTAAGTCCTGGTTTAGTCTTAAAGGCATTGATATTGTTTTGAGTATTGAATCATAGTTAATAATCTTGTCATTTTTCCACACAGAGACCTTCACAACATTGGACACTGACAAAGATAATGTTATACAGCTAGATTTTGTCCAGGTAAACACTTTTATTATCAGACCATTAGACCATAGTTGACATGTACTGACTAAGAAGATGTGGAACTTTGTGACAGTTTTGGTTTCATTTGGATTACCCACAGAAATACAGAAAGAATGGTTCTAAACTTAAACCAGAAATTTGACTTTTGACACTTGGGGTCAAAAGTCATAGTTACCAGGTTACCAAAATAGATTTTTCAGCTGCCGTCCACCACAACTTTAATCTATCAGCAAAGTCTCAGTTGGATGACACTTGAACATGAGCACTTTTTTTTTTTAAGTCAGGGGTGTAAAAATATTTTTGGTCGGGGGCTAAATAATAAAAAAAAAAAAAACGAGCATATGTATGACCAACATAAGTATAAAAGTGGTTTAAAAGTTTGTTTTGTTTTTTTGCCCTTTGACAGATGAGTTTGGCTAATGTTTTCTAGATTGGATTCAACCTCTACTGGGCCAAATATCAAGAATAGCTGTAGATGTGGGAGACAAATACTTACTTTATTTTTTAGTTCACAAATATAACATGCCATAGTAGCCCCTTACCATCAGTGCTGCATGTTACTGGAATTAATAAATGAAAATCCTTATAGGAGCCACTAAAAATTGTCTTGCGTGCCGGATTTGGCCCACAGGCCGGAGTTTGACATGCCTGATTTAGGTAGATCTGTGTCTGATGGCTGTGTTTTGCTACTGGACACTTGGATTTCTTCTACAGGGATCATTAAAGGATCTTATCTCTGTATCTTCAGTCTTATAGGATTATACCTCCCGGACCAATCCACAACATGTCTTCTTCATGAGTTCAATCGGTTGTTGTTGTTGTTGTTGTTGTGTAATGTGTACATGTGTTGCTCTTTCCTCCACAGTGGATAATGCTGACCATGTTTGCGTAGACCTGAACGGAGCCTTTTACAGAAGTGCCTTCTCCAGCTCCAGGGGCCACTGCTCTCCACAACAGCAGGTCTGCGAGGCCTGGGCTGTGCCTATCCAACACGTGCCAAAGGGATTCACAGTAGCACACGGAGGACACCATCCTAAAGCCACTATCAGGAACTTTTCTGGTGGATAGAAACCGCGTGCTTGGGTCCAGATCAATGTCATGGCTTTAGAGAGGTCAACATCACTATTCCACAACAGTAGTAACTATTTGGGAATTCCACAGACTGCAAAAAGCACAGTAATAAGACAATTTTGGGGTGAAACAAGAGATTTTAAGCTCATTTTGTTCAGTCATAACTATCAATCAATCACTGTTTATTTCTATAGCACAGTTTATACAGAATGCAACCCAAAGTGCTTCACATCGGCAACATTTAAAAGCAATTTAAAAACACACTGTAAAAACAAATACAAAAGACAGTTTAAGAAAATGAATAAATATATACATCGAAAATAAAATTATGATCCGATTTCCTGATGATCAGTCGTAGGCACGGCTGAAAAGAACCATTTTCAGCCTGGACTTGAACATAGCTAAAGTAGGAGCCTGTCTCACACCTTCAGGAAGACTGACTAACTACTCAAAGCATGTGTTCTGCATAAACAATAGAATATCATGCCTTTTGTTGTAGCGTAGTTAAAACAATTCTGCGTTCAAGAGATTATAATCCTTTCTAAAATGTTTTTGCTATATGGACTCTGAACAAAATTACTGTTTTTAAGTGTATTTTGTATTAAAAAAAAAAAAAGAAAAAAAACTTCAATTCGATATTTGGCCAAAATGGTGCTGCCCTCTTGTTTTGACTTAAACATTTCACAATTCAGAATTTACTTTAAGACATACATACACACTAGGTTAAGTTAGAAGTCATGTCTGTGGAAAGGCGAGTTACAAGCCTGAAAGAGTCAATTCCAAAAAATATTAAAACAAAATATCAATTATATTGTAGATGCATGAAGCGGACCCCATCAGAAAAGTTCCATAGTGCTATTTTTAAATAAGTTAAAATTGTTGGTTAAGTTTCAAGTATATTTGGTAAGAAAACCTCTCATTAGCACCTTTGAAATACATTCTGACAATTTCAACTTATTTATTTATTAGTATTTTTTCCAGTGCCCGTTTGCGTTGTCTGTAGCTGCCAAATACTCACTGTATGACACAAATATAGTAGCCACAAATACTACGTTTAAATTAAAGCTGGGGCACCTAACTTTCTAAAATAATGATATACACGTTTGTCCCAACAGCGTCTTGACAAATTAAACATTTTGTTAAACAAGTCAGACCCAGACATTCTGCAAACATCTTATGAAGAATAAGACGTAGGATCTTTTTCATACATGTAAGAAAGACTGAGTCACTATTTGATGCTTTGAGCTTAAAGCTGATTGGCTGAGGGAGGGAGGGCCTCTCTTTTTCACTTTTTTGTCTGAAAAAGCCAATCTGAAGATGTGACAGAGGCCTAAAATACCCGAACGTGAAAACTAGAGATTGAACCAAACTGTACAGAAACACTGGAACAAGTTATATGGATTTTATTTAAAAGTGAAAGTTAGGTACCCCAGCTTTAATCGCAACAACAACAAAATCATATCTTTTGTAGATTTAAATATCTAGAAAAGTTTAAAAGTAGAGGATTCTTACCAGAAAAGAGAAATATGTTTACAAATCTGAATTCCGACTATAACGAGACATATACGCCATTTTCAGCATTCGGTATTGGATCGAAAACATGAAATTGCCTTATTACTTACTTTATCTGCCAGACGAGCGCGTTTCCGAAGACGACAAAAATCTGTGAAAAAACTAATTTGACTTTTCTTGTATATTTCTGCACTGTACATTTTCTATAGACATCCAGCACTGCCTGTACATTTGCTGCAACCGAAAAAAAAAATACAACAAAAACAAGAAATCTGATGTCAAAAGTGAGTACTGTATCCAGGGCAACATCTCGCGCTAACGTTGAATGTCCAAAATCTTGCCTTTGTAGCGACACTGCTGATCTGGCAACAATGTAACATGCTGCAATCTTTCCAATCTGCCCGAGCTGTCGAGACAAATCAAATGTACTTTTTTGAATATATATCGTTATGCATGGCACCTTTTACAGCCGAGAGCGCTTCCGCTTTGTATAATCTTGTAAATTTTTAAGGGAACAAGTGATAGCTGTTTTGGTGAAGGGATGCATGCGTTCTGCCTGCTTTGTCTAACCGGGAGAAAATGTGTGTTTTAAATATTATGCCACGTGCTACGTCACTAATCAGCATTAACATCATGGCCACTAAGGAACGAGAAATGGCATCGATTCTAGTGTTTCAGTGAGCGCCAAAGTATTCGTTGTTTTTCCTCATTTTGTGTGAGATGAAAACGCAAATTATAGTTCACTGTTTTTGAATTGTCCAAAAAAAAACTGCATTTACTTTCACACTTAAAAGATTGTAAAACTTTGTGTCATTAAATTCGTTAATGTTTAATTTTGGTTTATTTTGAAAAGCTAAAAGTGTAGTTTGAGAGCCTCATTCTGCTCTCTAACTGGATATTCATAAACACTATGGATTCTATTTTTAATTAGGAATAACTCAACACATATAAAATAAGATGGAATTATTACCTACTGTCCCCTTTAAGTTTATTATAAGGTGCATTGAGAGATGCGAAACAGTGTGAATGATCAAAACTACGGTTTGTATTCAAAATAATGAGGGCAATCTGTCCAGAAATCCAAATATGTATGTTTTACTATCATTTCTGTATCTGGAACTTGTGTTGAGCAAGTTCCATAGGAGTTTAATATCTAAAAAAACAACCAAATATGAAAGGAAAAACAAAGGTTATGCAATTTACGACATGCAGCAGAAGTTTTGGAAGTGGTTATAATGTTGAGGCTGTTTGTGTCAGGAAGAAAAGACGAGATATTTCTTTACATATTGATGACAAAGCATTTTATCCAGCTATGTTCATTTGTGTTTCGTGTTAAAAAAACAGATTTTTCTACCATTACTTTTATATTTGAGTTTTCATGCGTCGGACAAGGCCTTTCGTTCACATTTGCCGTATCATTTTCAGCAATTGTTTACCTTTTTTCATGTAATTGAGTTTTTAAATGCGTCGACAATAAAAAAAATGAGCTTGAACTCTGTCTGAGGCTTGATTTCAATAAAGAAAAACACAACACCAAGAATAAATATTGCAATAAATAGCTTTTAGTAACAAGATTCAGATATAAAAACAGTTCAATGTACAGGCACAAATATTAACTTTCCACTCATTGTTCACTTACATTTGTACACACTGATCCAAAAGTTTAAGTTAGCGCAAATACATTTAAAAAAGCTATAAAAAGTTCCATCATGGTTTCATCTGGAAACCAGTTACAGGAATGTGATTCGGTTTAAGATTTCTCAAATGTCGTGAAGACACATTTTGACCTAAAAAAAAAAAAAAATACAGCCAAATAACTTTTAAAGGGTTGAAAAGGTAAATAATTAGTTCAAAATGGGGCGTTATTTATATATATATATATATATATATATATATTACAGGGTCAACAGACAGACATGTGCAAACGCTTAGGGTTGGTTGTCAAAAAAGGTGATAAAAATGTTTTATGAATCTATGGGAAAATAAATAATTAAATATATACAAACTCTGCAAATCTTGGGTCTATGAAGTAAAGTATTTTTAAAAATGGTACCAATCAGTATGGGCCATTTATCTAATGTTGATTTCTCTGCTGTCGTCATGTCCTTGGGCAAGACACTTCACCCCACTTTGCCTGAAGCCCCAGCTGAAAGATAAAGGCTGTGCAGAGAGCAGCCATCCCACCCAGAAATGGATTAAGGGGAAGAAGATGATTGGATGGTTTGTTGGGTTTGAACATTTCTCCCAATGGGTTGCGTTCATGTTACCAAATTTTAACACAATGGGAAAGAATCAGTTTTTGTCCTGACAGATTCAGTCCTTTCTACCGGCCAGTTTATTTTTTCCGCCACTTCTAGACCATAGTTGATGCCCTGACAAAAAAGATGTGAAACTTTGTCACAGTTTTTTGTTTTGAGTGGATTAGCCTTGAAATGACAAAGAAATGAACTCTAAACATAGAAATGAATTTTTACAGAGATTTTTGAACTGTCTTCCAACAATTTAGATTGGAATGTTGTGATGTCTCATGAACGCAACCAATTTCGTATGACTTGATTTAGTATCAAGTGAGTAGTTTTAATCTTATTGGATTTGCTGGCAATTTTTTTCAAACTCCTAACTCCCTTTTGCTGATCTTGCATAACCTTCCCACGTTTCTCAAACCTCCCTAAACCATTTGCACAAGTCTGTTTATGTTCACATCAGTGTCTTTTTAAGCGTAGTTGTTGTTGTGCTCGATCCGGGTCACCATCGTGGACACCAGTCTCTCCAGCTGCTCCGCCCGTTGCTTCCCGGTCTGCAGAACCTCCTCGTGGTTGGCCTTCTCCTGGCTGTCGTAGTCCATCACGGCCTGGTTCGTGATCAGCGACAGGGCGAAGACGCGCATCCCACAGTGCCTCGCCACGATCACCTCCGGGGCCGTGCTCATGCCTGCACCATCCATGCAAAAAGAAAGGAAAATCTATGAGTGAATGCAGGTGAGCTTGGTCGTATTGAGTGTTTTGGGTCAAATCAATGGTCAGAGGTGACGCAAGTGCAGCGTCAGCATGTATTGCACACACACAAATCTATGCAAAGCTACAAAAACAACTTATTAGCATTCATTTTTCTAGTCTAAAACTCTCCTCCAAGGTCAAAGTAAATGTGGATTGCTTTATATACAGTATATACGCGTGATTTTAATGTTTTAAGGTTTTTAACTACACTTTATTTTGTATGTTTTTAATGTATCTTGTGCTCTTATTGTGTTTTTTAATGTTTATGTAGATTCTAATGTTTGATTTAAGCATGATGTGATTTGGGTTGTGAGGAGCTTTGTGTTGCCTTGTGTAGGAAAGGTGCTCTACAAGTAAAAGTTGGTTGATTTCACGGTTTCATACAGTACATGTTGACTGTGTAGGACGATCCATATGCTCTCGATGTGAAAAGTGAACTGAAAATTGTAGATAGAAAACACATTGAAATTAGGATGAATCTATCATTGCATTTCTTTTATTGGAACTGTTTGATTCTCTGATCTGCGTCGGCAAATTCAGCAGTTGTGTAAAGTCCTCAGAGAAAACTACTGTTGTGATGTAGAGCTACACAAGAAAACACTGAATTGAATTGAATTTCTTCTGTGTTTTTTCACTAGCATGCGTTGACTTTGCCTGCAGGCTCTCACAAGGTTGAAAGTATAAACAAAATGGACGTAACCATAACACAGCCTGTTGTGAATGCACTCACCGACGGCGTCCGCTCCCAGTCGGAAAAGCATTCTACACTCGGCGATGGTCTCGAAGGAAGGACCCCCCAGGACGCAGTAGACCCCCTCCTTCATGAAGTCCTCGTAGCCCAGCTCCTGAGCCACGTTCATGGCCAGCTGCCTCAGCTCGCGGTCGTACGCGTCGGACATACACGGGAAACGCAGGCCGAACCTGCACCCACACGGAGAGGGACACAGAGATGAGAACCAGGTCAAAGATAAAACACTTTCACAGTTGGAGAAGAAGGTTGAGAAGTACTTTACATAGTTTGGCGTCACCCTGACAACTGCAGCTAAGTGATGTTGATTTAGATTGGATTGATGATTAACTAGTCTTACTTCTTCTCCTCACCCGTACAGACCTTCATCTCTATACGAGAGAGGAGGAAAATGTATTTATGTCAAACAACTGAATCCTGTATGACCCTGAAGAAAATGAAATTGACTTGTCAGGAAACAAGAATACAAACTAATCCTGAAATGTGTCGATTTCACATTAAGAGTTGTTCCAATCTGCGCAAGGATTTTCTAATAATCAATTAACCTTTTCCGCAACTTGCCTTTAAAAAAAAAATAGTTTTTCTGGCTATGGAACTCCAGTGGGTCATTAAGAGATTGATAGTAAATTGTATTGGTAGTATCTATTCTACAGTTTAAGCCTTTGACGGTTTTTTGTTTGTTTTAACATTCATTCCCTGAAATGTACCTGTCGTCATTGGGTCCGACGAGCGGGTTGAAGCCTCCGTAGCCGGGAATGTTTATGTGGTCCTTGATGATCATTACGTCTCCCACTTTTAAATCTTCGTTCAGTCCTCCTGCTGCGTTTGTCAGAATAACGGTCTCTACTCCCAGCAGTTTGAAGATGCGCATCGGGAATGTGATCTAGACAAGAAAGAAACGACATGTAGTAGAAGAAACACAAATATGCAACACATAAATGTAAACACATATATTTTTTAAAAACCTACCTTTTGGATAGTGTAGCCCTCATACAGGTGGAAACGGCCTTGCATACAGACACATGGTCTTCCTTTCAACGTCCCGAACACCAGTCTGCCAGCGTGTCCATGGACTATGAAGAAACACAATCATTATTAACATAATATCATGTTTTTATCTTTCGTTAAATGGTTTTAGAAAATTATATACATAGACTCAACAAAGATGTTATTATTTGCTTGTCTCTGCTTGTTCTCCACTGTGAGATCAATTAAGTTTTTCTACGAGACTTTTACTTTATTCTCAAAGGTGATTATAGCTCACATTAACCTTCAACATAGCCTTAAATTTGGTATAATAGCACTTTATGGCATTCAAAAGTGCTATAAATGCTTTCTCGCTGCTAATCTCAATTCCAAAGCTGCTGTTCTTGGCACCTCTGACTTTGCCTTCTTGCACTCAACTCACCCGTGCTTTGAGGGAAGTTGGGGATGTCCTTGTAGTTGAACGCCACCTGGTCTTTCAACATGTCCGCCAGCCCCCCCAGCCCAGAGCCACACACGATCCCGATAGTGGGCCGAACATCGGTCTGAGCCAGCAGCCAGTCCGCCGTGCCTTTGCACTCCTCATAGCTGTGTCTGCAGAGAGAACACACACAATAGTTATGACATGAAGAGAGTTGGATGTTACTGGGACAAGATCGATACAGTCTCGTCAAACAGTATTGACTGTGCTGCATGTGGCTTTGAAGTTAGTTGGAACTAATGTGTCTTTTATTATTGGATTTTGCGGTCTCCAGAAGACAACATAACGTTCTGTAATGCATGGGTCTCACGTGTTAGTCATTTTCAAGAGACAAGTTTGCAACATTTCACTTCCAACAAACAAAAATCATGAATGTAGTTTTATAGCAGGTCAAAATGTTGCTATAGCTTGTAATACTGAAGATGGAAGAAGAACGAGGGAGGGACTTAAGAAAGCCACGTCATGTTACAAAATGTTATATAATATTTATCCCAAAAAAGTCCATATAACATTTTGTTCTCACTCGCTACAGCACAATGAATTTCGGACGCTACTCAACTTTTTCGTTTTATAGGATGGCAGGGGAAACGCGGCTGTTCAGAAAGGCTGTCTCTGTTTAATCTTATGCATTGCCATTGTTTGAACCTTGGTTAAATAAAGAGAAGGGGCTTGAACTAGATAATCTACAAAACTATTGACAGCCACACGAATTTAGTTTTTTTCTTTGTTTAGTTGGTTCCCAGCTGCATCAAGTGCCGCGCTTCCTCTGCCGTCCTGCGTAAAATAAAAGGGCGCTGGCACATTTCAGAGACGAACCACGTGTTGAGAGGACATAATAGTACATACAAGTAATTATACAAATATTTATGCAAGCTATCACTTTCAGCAGGAGCCATTACGTACATACCCTTTAGTCAACTCAGGAAACATTGTTACAGTTGAAACGGGAGGAAAAATAAGTCGACTAGATCAAGTCGATGTGTTTTAAGTCTAAGATCAAGATAAGCGTCTCAGCTTCAGATTTCTTCTTTGTAGGAGTTGCTGAGTTGGTCGGTTTCTTGTCCGGGTCTGAAGGAGGAGAGGGGAGCGCTTGTCTTTATGATAGAAGCGCCCCTCCCCTAGTGACCACTGACGCACTTGACCCCAGCCTTACTATTGGCTGAGCAAAACACACCTTCAAAAAATAAATCGTTGGAATTTGCTGAGGGAATTTGGCACTTTTCTCAACCATTCCCGGCATAAAAGTGCGTAATACTTCTGACGAACCGTTGAAATGCCTCCAAATAAGATTGAATATTGACTTTGTGTTTGTTACTAGTATGTTACTAGTATATATGTTACTAGTGTAGCTCACATAATCTTCATCCATAGTGTGTGTTTATGGTGATTCCTTCAGTGGGGGGCGCATTGTTTTGGTCATCACGTGTCCAGGGATGTCTTGCTCAATAACATAAGCAGTGTTTGTATTTTGAATGGATGACAGAGGTCAGGGATGCTAATAGTAAGAGCAGGGGCCACTCTCGCGAACAGGGATGTTTGTAAACAGCTGGTTTCACTATTTTCTCATGACCAAAAGCCCTGATTTTTAATGAATGAATCAAAGTAAAAACCAAAAATTGAATTAATTTTCAAACACAGCTCTTGACACACTGTATTTATTTATAGGAATGTTTTTTTCTGTTTGATTTTATTTTAATTAGTGTAGGTATTTATATAGGTTCATTTATCTTATGCTGTGTGCTCCTCATTCCTACTGTTCTGTAACCGGTGATGCAATACTGAAAATTCTCTCGTAATCTTAAGGGTTTTGTTGAGTTACACAAGCAATACTGTATGAATATATTTTGGATAAACATTTATTAACAGTATTGTGGCTTTTTCTGCTATAATTACACTGAATTTCATCTGCATTAACTTCCACTGTGTGTGTTCAGATGAAGACATCCTTTATTCATATCACAGTGGGGACATTTCAGTGTTGCAGTACATCTACAAGTTAAACTCCAGTAGAAATGAGGAGCACACAACACAACATAAATGAATATTAAGTACACTATACTCAAAAAAAAAAAAAAAAAAAATAATAAGTATTTGGTTGGTATATAATGTGTATTTGACTAATAGAAAAACTGGACTGGTTTATATTATGTTGAGAGATGCCTCATTCTAAAACACTTTCACGACAAAAGTTATTTTTTATATGTATTTATTTTTCAACCTTTTGTCCCTCATCAAATATAACAGGGTTGCGTCAGATCCCTCAGATTACATAAAGTGTCTATCTATCAACGCTCATAAAAATGTTGTCTGACTGCCAATAGCCCTTTGGTTTCAATTGCGTTTATAGGTCCTGTTAAAGTGTCACTGATTCACAGTATACCCACATTTTCTTTCAGAATTAGCAGCTATAGGAGCCATGAGATCGCACCATCTCCAGGAAAATTAAGTAATAAACCTTTCTATGATCATAAAACATTTTATTACGTTTGTCCGTCAGAAACAGTCAAATCAGACCACGACATGTTATCTACATAATATTATAGAATAATAGCTGAGAAAGAGTGGGTTCTAAAAATGGAGCAGAGGCAAAAAAAACAAACGGTGAAAACAAGCAAGAAACTAGCGGATTTTATTACATAGTTCCATTTTTTTGTGTGGTTCCAAAGCTACACAACCCAGCTTTAAATTTATATTGTTTAATCATTATTTTAAAACATAAAACCAAAACACAAAAGTATAACCCCAAAACAATAACAAGTAACACAAAGACAAGAAATACAAAATATTTATTATAATAATAATAATAATAAACAAGAATAAAAGTAAATGAATAATAGTAATAATGATAAACATAAACATAGAAATAGTGTGTATAGTTTTATTATTATTATCTACATGTCTATTGTGAGGAAGTTGTAAATCTGGTTATGAAAGATCATAAAAGTACTATGTAACAAACTATGGGGACAGATTTTGCTTTTGTAACATCCCAGCCTGTTAATCAACACATAGATAAGTGTGTTTTGATCTTTCTCCGTTACATAACACGTGGCATCTGTCAAATTGTGAATTTTTTTCCCACAGGCGACGCATTTCTTATTGTTTGAGCGTCGCGTTAAACAAAGCAGTTCTCGGGAAGTCCATAAATGACAGCTTTGGAATTGGTCTGTCCTTGTTTTGAAATCTTTATTCTTTTGAGTCAGTCACAAGGAAGTCCCCTGCTCTGCTCTCGCACACACCATGTGCCATTCATGTTGTGAAATGTGTGGCACTCCTCTGCTCTTGTGGCTTTATAAATTCCAGGACAGATTGACATTGGGAGATAGGACAGCCTTGACTTGTATAAACACTATTCTTTCCTTAGGACGATCCCACAGCGGCAAAGATAAAATAAGGAAAGCCAAAGTAGAACTGCAAAATATTATAATTTAATCAATTCCACAAGGTAAAGAATTGCAAATGTATAAAGTGAAACAAGGGGTTAGACGTGCTTATTTATTCTACAGTGCTACTACTAATAATAATAATATCTAATATTGTTTTTATATAGTGCTTCTCAGGACCCTCAAAGACGCTTCATATGTAATTAATCTTTCACTCCATACACAGTGGTGATAAACTACTGTCGCCACAGCTCTATAGGAAACAGACAGAAGACCTGACTCATTCTAGGCAATGTTGTTGTTTAAGTGTCTTGATAAAACAACATTTTGGCACTTTACAGCCACAGCTGCCCCACTGTGGCACCTGGTATTCCCAGGGAAAAGATAAGATAAGATAGACTTTATTGATCCCACACTGGAAAAATGTACATGTCACATTTGGCATAGATAGAATCACTCAGATTGTGCCAAACACAGAAGTGTGCAAACATTTTAAGGTTAAGAAATATTACATCCTGTACAGGATGTAATTCCATCCATCCATTTTCTTCCCCTTTATCCATTTCTGGGTCGGGGGGGGGGTGGCAGTCAGAGCTGCACCCAGTACACTTAGCACCAGCCCCTCACTGATCCTCCTGCAGGTGGTGAGTCCACAGGAGCTTTGATATTTCAGCGGGGGCTTCAGGCAAAGTGGGGTTAAGTGTCTTGCCCAAGGACACAACGACAGCAGTTGTCAGTGGGAGTCATGAAGTAGGTCTTGAGGTGGGCTCGAACCCACAAGCTTCAGGCCCAAAGGCCAATGCTCTACCAACTGAACCACCTTCACCCCTAACAGGATGTAATTATGTTAAAAAAGTGGCAATAAAAGAAATAGCAGTGCTGGTTTTTCAGTCCTAGTGCGTAAGTGACTTATTATACAGTCTGACAGTGGTGGTGATAAAGGCCCTGCGGTAGTGCTCCTTCCTACACCGAGGGTGCCTCAGTCTTTCACTGAAGGAGCTCCTCAGCTCCTCTACAGTCCTGTCTGGGAGGTGTCGTCCATGATGGAGGTGACTTTGACTACACCTCCTGTCCCTCACCTCCTCCACAGAGTCCAGGGAGCAGCCCAGAGTGGAGCTGGCCCTCCTGACCAGCTTGTTCAGTCTGTTTCTGTCCCGCTCTGTGCTGCCCGGGGCCCAGCACACGGCAGTGTAGTGTATGGCAGAGGCTACCACAGAGTCATAAAAAGTCCTGAGCAGAGGCCTGCTCACTACGAAGGACCTCAGCCTCCTCAGAAGGACCTCAGCCTCCTCAGAAGGGCCTCAGCCTCCTCAGAAGGACCTCAGCCTTCAGATATGCTGTTATACATCTTTGATTTTTGTATTTTGCATTAAAAATGTAGAACAGTTGGCAAGGCAATTCATTTTTATTTGTATATAGCACAGTTCATACAAAAGGCAACTCAAGGTAAGATAAGAAAAGATAGACTTGATCTCACAGAGGAGAAATTTACATGTCACATCTGGCACAGATAGAATCACTCAAGATTTGTGAAAAAGAAAGAAGTGTGCAAACATGTTAAAGGCAATGTTAAAAGTGTCAATTAAAGAAACAGTGGCAATAGTAGTGCAGGTTTTTTACTCCTTGTGCAAGTGACTTAAAGTGACCTATTGTACAGTCTGACAGGTGCCTAAACAAAACAAGATTATACATTCATACAAAATTAAATCAATGGTTTACAGTGAAATGCCCATAAAACAATCCAATTCCATTCTACAGCATTCTACAGTGTAGGAGCAGCTCTCTGCCTTCTCTGTCCTAAACGAGTGGCTCTCTATGGGAAGGTTGGAGACCCCAGTCCTACAGCATTGCATGGTAATGTTTGACCACATTGAAATTCAAACATTTCTAATTGTGATGACCTTTTCTCCCCCGACTTTATTTTGGTGATTTAAGATTCTTAAGAGATCCTTTATTTGTCCCACAGTGGGGACATTTCAGTGTTGCATTACAATTTATAGAACAGTAGGAAAGAGGAGCACATGGCACAAGTCAAGTGAATAATAGCTATACTAATTAGAATTAAACAAAAACTCTAACTCTGGCAAATAACAAGTATAAAATCTCTATCTTGAAAATAATAATAATAAAAAAGAAATATACAAGTTTTACATTTGGCAAAAAAGTATAAAGTACTATGTGTATTCTAGAGCAAGCAAAGTGTAGTTATATGTTTACATCTGTACATTAGCAGCAGTATGTTTACATCTGTACATTAGCAGCTGTATGTTTACATCTGTACATTAGCAGCTGTATGTTTACATCTGTACATTAGCAGCTATATGTTTACATCTGTACATTAGCAGCAGTATGTTTACATTTATAACTAGTGCTTCTGTGGTGCAAACAGCAGAGCAGCTCCATAGATCAGGCAGATATCTGCTTTTAAGACTCAACTCAACTCCATATATTTGTGTATAGCCCTAAATCACAGCAGCAGTCATCTCGGACAACATTACAAAGTTGACGCTTCGCCAACAACAGAGCAGAGAATCAATCACTCTTGCA